GCGCTAAAGGCGCGCTCTGATTGGCTAGTGTTTTTTGTTAATAACTCAAAAACGAAGCTTTAATCAACATTTTGGCAAAGGAAAAAGTTGTTTAGAATCACCTTGTCAATCATCCCTTTTCGGTTGTTGATGTAGTCGTTGGACACCCTGTATAAAGATTCACCCAAATTAAAGTGGTTAGATCTTAGTTTATTCATTCTGGTCAGAAATTCTCTATCCACCCCTTTGATCTTATAAAACCAAGGGTTCTTATTACCGAGATTATTGTTCGGATTGCTAAAGTATTTCACGCCCTTAAATAAGCCTATACCTGTTATAGAACCTACCACAGGCCGCCTCCATCAAGTATATTTTAATGTCCCGGACGGAGACTCCAAATTCCCATCCTTCCTCCCCTAGGGTTGCACTTCCCGCAAGCATATCTGCTCTATCATTACCTTCTATCCCCACGTGACTGGGGACCCATGCGAAGGCTACATTCAAAGCCTCTATCGTCACAGCCCCATTTACAGAGGCGTTCCTTTTTAATTCCCTCATCGTGGATCCATGGGCTATCTCCCAGATTGGAATGGTGAGCTACTTTCGTCAAAACACTTGCCGAGTCTGTTACAATCAAAAACCTACATTCTTTTGGCCTATTATTCACATTTTTTTGAAAACCGACGTGGTCTTGTGTAAAGACCAAGAAAAATCTTCCCAATTTCCTGCATCTAACCGCACAGTCATGCCGGCCCCAGTTGAAATTGCATTAGCTTTCTTAGAGCCGTCTGTATATATTTCTATTATAATACTTTCAGACGTATGAGTATTCCATAAGTCATTCTTTATCTCACTCAAAAGCGCTCTATCGCTAATCTCAAACTCCTTCCTACGTTTTCCCATTTCCCAGTTTACTCTAAATCCTCTCTCTTCCAAAAGACTACCCCATGACAACCATTCCATCCTATCCACCTCCAACCTACGACTTCTATACACCCATTCTTCTAACTTCACCCATGATCTAGCCCAGGGCTCCATGACTCCCCAGTCCTCTTCCTCCCTAATTACTACAAAGTTTAAAAAACTACTCCGAACCATACTTGCTTCGTTCAGCCTATGCTTGAGTAAAAATCTTTCCATGAGGGTTTCTACTCTAGTTTCCAAGTCCATACATCCCGCTTCCACGTTCATGACATTAATAGGGGTGGACATTCTGTAACCCATTGCCACCCGTAAACCGACATTCTAAAGTTTCCCCAGCTTTTCTCTTCCCTTTTTATTAATCCAAAAAAATACAAGAATACCGTATTCTAAAACTGACTAATCCTAACTAATCCCTTAAAGAAAATCAACATGGTATTTGGGTTCACCCCTTTCTTAATCCCCGCGATGAACCGGAGAATGTCTAAACGTTTTTTAGCTTTATTACATACATATTCTACCTGGCTATTAAAGTATAGACCCTCATCCAAGATAACGCCCAGGAATTTGACTTCTCTGCTGTTTTCAAATAATGTTCCACCCAGCTCTAATTCCTCCTAGCACCCACTCTGTCCCTATTTCGCGGAAATGTGATCCATTGTGTCTTTTCCAATGCCAAATCCAGTTTAATGTCTCTAAGATTACAGATGATTCGTTCGACTGCTTCCCTCAACCATCTTTCTCTTTGATCCCTATCCCGACCCCATACATAAATCACTATATCGTCGGCGTACAATAAAACTTTCACATTCCCAGATCCCACTCCACGGCAGACGTTGTGGCGGCCGTTGTCGATAAGGAAGATTGAAGATTATTCTCATCGCCACCTTTTTATAACTACGTTTATTGTTCATTTGTCATTTTAAACAAATTAGAATAACTTTTGTAACTATTCATTCCTCGCCAAATTCTCCAAGCCTAAAGACGTGTCAACCTTTATATCAATATTTCCAAATATATATTTTCACAATTTAAGCATTAACCATTCATTTTAAATATGGAATAAGTCCTCCATATTTTTGGTGACCCCGACGTGATCAAAGAGGGAACTTTAATTTACTCGGGCGAAGAAATGTTTTCCATCGTCGGTCATCCTAGAACAGCAGCGTATACGACTGCATCGGCTTGAGCAACACGTTCGTCTCACTCAAATAAACAGAAGAATTGGTCGCAGACGCCTTACAACACATTACGCATCATTCAAGACGCACCGGGACATACACGGCTGAATCTCACCCCGTGGTTTCTGCACATTGAACAGGATGGAAATGATGGCACCATTCCCCTCGCACTCATGGCGACACTACTCCAGAGGTTGTACATTTCTCAATTAAGTCAGCAACGGGCCAAATACAACCAATCTCTGACGTTACTCATTATCCCGCATCTAAAGCACGATCCTACTAGAATGCCTTTCTGTCGAGTCCACTAGTAGTAACCAGACGAAACGCTCTCTCTCTCCTCTTTCCTTTTGTATTGAATGTCCAATAATCAGGAAGAGGATCAACTACAGAGAGCAGTCTTAATTCTTCTAGAGCTCTTTACAGCAACATATCATGCAACAGCCCTTATTGCAGCGGCAGAGCAACATATCATGCAGCAGCCCTAATTGCAGCAGTAGAGCAACATATCATGCGTCTACGCAGGCACGGACCTACAAGGATCTCATTTGCGACCAGAAATCGTAACCCTTCTCCTAGGGTGACCATTGACGACACGCTCCCCATGGTATCAATCAGCCCAATACTTGATCAAGCCTCAACTTTAGACGTTTCCTGAAGAATCCTTTCTACGATGACTTCTTTACTCGGGGGGGGAGTATTGTGGCGGCCGTTGTCGATAAGGAAGATTGAAGATTATTCTCATCGACACCTTTTTATAACTATGTTTATTGTTCATTTGTCATTTTAAACAAATTAGAATAACTTTTGTAACTATTCATTCCTCGCCAAATTCTTCAAGCCTAAAGACGTGTCAACCTTTATATCAATATTTCCAAATATATATTTTTGTTGAATAAAGCAACGCGTACATTCAAATTTATACCTATCCTAGGACTGCAGTTATAACAACCTAACACTGCGTAACTACGCTAAGGATTATTCCTATTGGTGGATTATCCACTCTATCGAGTTTCCATTCTAGTTACTTTTTTACTTCTACTTGTCGTGTGTCGCTTCTAAAGAAAGTAACCGTTTGTACCACGTTATAATAAAGATATTATTTTCATTAAAGTCTCATTAAGTTATTCTCTTCGAGCCATTGTATCGGTCCATCCCATTTCTAATAATTTTCACAATTTAAGCATTAACCATTCATTTTAAATATAGAATAAGTCCTCCACAACGTCTGACGAATAAACGTTATACAACATGGGACTAAGAACCGAGCCCTGGGGTAAACCCCTGTAAATCTGCCAGAAGGCTTCCGGGTCGAACTTCTTCAGATAGGTGGCTTCTCTATCCGTCAACCAATTGCCCAGATACTTCACCAAGGGCATCGGGCACCCTTTACTCCTCAAGATTTCAATCAATTTCCGATGATCCACTCGATCATAGGCCGCCTTTACATCAACAAAAGCGGCCAAAGTATCTTCTTTTCCCTGGTTTATCAAAGAATTTTACCACCATATTCTTCCAACGTTTAGGAACAATTCCATTTTTCCAAATCCAATTATACATCTTGAGCAACAGCTTTTTCATATCTCCGTGCAGGTTTTTAAGAACCTTGTACGAAATACCGTCTTCTCCGGGGGCAGAAGACCCTTTGACCTCCTTCAAGGCCTTGTTGAGCTCAAGCATCGAAAAATAATACTCTTCCTCCCAACCACCCATGTCAATTCCAATTCCACCAAAGTCGTTCCAAAATTCATCCTACTCTGACGGTGACTCAAGGTGGCCCAAAATTTTCCTAGTTTCCTCTTCCTCTAGACGCCTTCTCTCTTCGACCGCAAGAAGAGTTGACCCCATCCCTTAAGACCCCATTACTGATACATTTAACCTTTCTCCACGCTTCCTTCGCGCTAGTAAAGCAATCAATAGACTTAGCGAAGTCATCCCACGCTTTGCTTTTCTTTGCTCTAACTAAACTTCGCATGTTTTTTTCAGCCTCTCTGAGGGTCACCCAGGTGCCCTGGGAAGGGTTTCTAATATAGGCCTTCGTTGCCTCCCATCTCTTTTCCTTAGCCACATTGCATTCATCGTTCCACCAGACTTGTTTTTTCCTTGCCCTGTTATTTATCCCTCCTCCCCCCGAACGATGTGGGGGGGGGGGGGGGGTTGTTACCCCCACCCGCTTTAAAAATAGATCGATCAAGTGCATCCGTAAATTGGGAGCATCTGCTATCAATGTTAGAGGCACAGAATTGTTCGTTAGCCAAAAGCGAACTGAGGGAGTTAGCTTCTTCTCCAGAGGTATAATTAAAAACAGCCCAATTTATGTTTTTTTCTCGGTATTTTCGTGTACCTCCACCTATCCAAACTTGATCTAACTGTATGGTGTCGTGAAGATTTAACAACACCACTTGATGGTCAGAACCCAACGTTTCGTTCTCCTGCATGATCGATCCCTTGTTCTTTAAACCATGGGACCCAATAAAGAGGTCCAGGTTGGACGGAGGGCGACCACCAACTCCGACCCTAGAAAGAGAACCCCTATTCAAAACGAACAAATCTGTGTCCTGAATAGCCTCTTCCAACCATTTACCTTCTCTACTATCCGTGATACAATTCCATGCGCGACTTCTAGCATTAAAGTCTCCCATGACTAAAGTTTCCACACCAGCCCTCCTATTCAACTCAAATAAATCCTGCTAGTCACCTCTTCCCCACTGTATCCCCGGTCTCCTATACACCACCAAGACATCTAATTCTCCAGAATCAAGACTAACCGTGGACGGCAAAACTGTCCCCTGGTTTAAGCCATGTCTCCGATATTCCAAATAAATGAAATTTAGAAACGTATTCTCTCAGCTCTCCAATCTTTCCCCTGACACTCCGGGCGTTTCAAATTCCAATCAAAACTGAGGTAGCCATTTTACCTTAAACATTACATACCAACCAACGGGACCTCCTTCGGGCAGGAGCCCTCGTCTGTCTCTACTTCCATCACTTCTCCTTTTCAGGACGGATACACAGGGTAGTAAAAATCTTCGCCTACAAAATGATATATGATTTATTATAAAGTTTTGAGAAAAACAGGACATCACAAAAGACAATAAAGTTTCTAATTACAATCTCCGCCGTTATGCTTGATTTCTCTTTTCTTACCCTAACCTCGCTTCTCACGTGTCTCTCACCTTCCAAAAGAAACCGGTAAAGAAATACATTATTCCAATATCTTATACAAAGTAAAATTCCAAAAACACAAAACTTCTTACAACCATTCCATAACCCATTCATCATTCCAAGTACAAAAATGCGTCCGTGGTCACAGACCACCAGGTTTTGCTTAACATAACCTAAACCAGCACTCATAACAACGCCCCACCAAACACCGAACCAAAATACAACACCAAACCAATAACCGCCATAACCGGTACCCATTGGCCACTTAAGAGCCTTATCCGGCTGTTCCACTCTGTTCTGACCAAAGATGTGACCGAAGGGGCCATTTTTGATAGCTTCCATCCGCTGACGGGACCTCTCTTCCTCCCGGGTCGCCTCTGCTTCCTCCCTTTCCCTCTCTCTCCTGGCGTAAGAAGGACCAGGTAGGCTGTCCTCCCATTCTTTTTGCAGACGTAGTCTTTCTTGCTCTTTAGCCGCGTTGAGGGCTTTCTTCCGATCTATCTTAGCCTGGGTTTTAGCCGGGGTGGGAACTGACCAATCAGGTCGGTGCCGCGTATTCCAATATTCAACCTCCTCCTCCTCCGTGGGAGGCTTACCATACTTTCTTTTCCTAAGGATTTTTTCCACCTCATTTTCAAAACCTCGGTCCGCTATGAGGTTCAAAAGATCCACGAAGAACTCCTCCTCCCTCTGTTTTTTCAGTTGTTCGATAAGCGCTCTGTTGGCCCTCTGCTCCATTTTTCTGCTTATTTTTTTGATAGCCGCTTTCTCTAATTCACCATGCCCAAATGTGTATTCTGCTTCGTCGTCCTCTGGATCCGAATCCGGTTGGAGAGTAGCATAACGATTTTCCCATTTCTCTTTCTCCAATTCAATCAACTTCCTTCTGACAAGCCTTTCACGCGTTTTCACAGGGTCACCCTCCACAACCAGATTTAACCTGCCACGCCCCCTCCCTCTTGGGGGTTCAGTTTGATCTTTTCTCATATTTTCGGCAATGGTTTCCCACCCTCTGATGGCCTCCACCTGGGGAGCAACTGGCGCTCTAGATTCCTTAATGGCCTGCAATTCATTTTCCAAAGACACTTCAAACTTTTCCCAATATTCTGATGACTTCATCTTGTTTCTCATTGTCAAGGCAGGGAAATCCCTGGAGCCGTCCCTCCAATCACCGTCATCTTCAAAAATTCCACGTTCTCCTAACTGGTTAGATACCATATCCCTGGCCGTGGCATATGCAACGTTACGATATGCCATCACCTTCTTAACTGCTTTCTCCCTCTGAAACTTCCAGCACACCTTGGCAAGGCTGGTGTGATTTCCACCACAATTCAAGCATTTAACGGGCCTATCACAAGTACCGTGTTCGTTTTCAAGGCACCTTATGCACCTCCTATTTCGGTTCCTGCACTGTGCTTGTATATGTCCGAATGCAAAGCATCGATAGCATTGCTTCACAGCTTCTATAAATGGGAAAACTCTCACACTGACATGACCCTGTCCTATCCAGAGTTCCCTTGGTAACTGGTCTCCTTTGAAGGTGGCTAGAATTTCCTCCACCCACTCAGATTTACCGTCCTTAATAACCTTCTTCTTTAATCGCTCGAAAGTACATTCTGGTTGTCCTGGAACCAGGGCCTCTTCCAATTCCCCTATCGACTCCTCCCAATCCGTAATAACCCCTTTCCTGGACTTTTTCCTCTCGGGAAGAGAGGCGTCAAACGTAGCATTATCCTTTTCTGCTCTCTTCAGAATTTCATTAGCCGTTGCCATATCGCCAAAAGTTAGCTCAGCCCTATTAAAGGAAACCATCTTTAGCCCACGCAACGACCTACCCCTGTTCTTCACTAATCTATAAATTTTTATAAGGTTTCTACGCTTCATTCTGGTCGTCACCTTTTTTTTAAAGCGACCGTGACCATATATTCCTTACTGCCGAGAAGGAATTGTTAGCGATAGTATGGGCTATCAAACGCTTACAGCAATACCTTCTAGGTAAAAAGTTTAAAATTTTAACCGAGCATCAAGCTCTAAAATGGCTAGTTAACGTTAAAGATCCGTCATCCAGATTACTACGTTGGCGATTACGTCTCGAAGAATATGACTACGAGATTGAGTATACTAAGGGAAAGGAAAATACAGCAGCAGATAGTCTATCTCGTTTGTACCCCTTATCTCCGCGAAGCATTGACGACCCAGACGTTGACGCCGACAGACTGGAACGAATTCAGCTTTCAACAGAGTACGAAAATTGGAAACAAAACCCTGACCCGATGTACGTTTTACCCACTCGATCGAATCCGGTTGGTAAAGTCTGGAAACCACTCCATAGAGACATGTTAGGGCCCTACGACCCGCTGGAATGGTTAGTCAAAATAGATAAGATTATACAAATTACAATTGAACAACGACATAGTATCTTAAAACTATATTTACCGCAGCGATTTGGGTTAGTGGAGTTAGTAGAACTTCGACAAATTCTTAGTTATTTAGGTTATAGATATTCAGATCAGATCGAAATTATCTTCTCGGAAAACCAAGTAGAATTGAATAGGGAAGAACAATTAGCATTAATAAAAGAGTGCCATAACAGCAATGCTGCACAGCACCTCAGAGAAACAAAGACTCTAAAACGGGTACAGGAAAATGCCATGTGGAGGAACATGGATAGGGATGTGGTAGAATTTGTTAAAAGTTGTGAAACATGCCAACGCGAAAAAATAATTAGAATTCGTAATAAAGAACATGCAGTTATCCTCGACACACCATGCGAACCAAACGACAAAATCGCGATGGATATACTCGGACCACTAACACCTACTAATAGGGACAACAAATACATCCTTTCGATACAAGACGTTTTGACCAAATACCTGTTACTAATTCCGTTAAGAAAAATCAGCACCGCAACAATTATAGACGAACTTCTACGACATTACATTTACATATTCTCAGCACCGAAATATGTACTCACCGACCAAGGCTCAAACTTTATCAGTAAGCTGATGCAAGAGTTCGAATTGCAATTTCAAATTAAACATATTAAAACGACCGCATTTCATCCTGAATCTAACGGCAGTTTAGAAAGGACACATAGTACCGTCTTAAACTTAATTAGAACGTACATGCGCGATAAGAACAACGAGTGGGACGAAAATTTACAACTCGTTTGCATGGGTTTCAACACCGCGATTCACGAATCGACTGGATACACGCCGTTCGAATTGACCTTCGGTCATAAAGCAAATCTTCCTTCGACCATAGCGAGTACGCCGCTATTGTCCAAAGAAGAGCTATTTAAACACTGGAAACAAAGGCATAATGCCTACATAAATAAAGCTAGAAGCAATCTAGAAAAAACTAAGGAAAAGACGCAGCATAGAACTAACCAGAATATTATCCGCACACATCCCGTTTTCAATGTTGGAGACTACGTGTTTCTGCACAACGACAACGTCAGAAAACACAAATTAGAACCGGAATGGCTCGGACCATATCCTATCCTCCACACTTCACCTCCTACCTACACCATACAATTAAGGGACACGCTTATAGCCAAAGTACATGGAAATAGATTAGAACCCTGTATTTTTCGAATTCCAGATGCTAGTTCTGATAACGCTGTTCGCGATAGTACAAACGACCCTGGCTCTTCATAGTATCAGCTTAGGGAAATTTGATGTATTTGTGGAAATAGAAAAAAACGTCCAACTGTATAATCAGGAATGGACATTAGTCGTTAACGTCAATACAGATTATATCGAAAAACAATACGTTAATATTATGAAATTATTTAATGTTACCACAAAATATTATGCCTTGGAAAAGGAGCCTAATTATGAAATCTCCGTTCTTCGTAATCGGTTAACTAATATAAAAATATCTACAGATAACTTGCGTATATTATTAGGAAATAGAATTAGAAATAAGAGAGGCTTAATCAACGCGATCGGTAGAATTTCGAAATCTTTATTCGGCACATTAGATGAAGACGACTTAAAACTTATTAATAAAAATATCGATATGTTATTTAAAAACCAAAATGACATGAGCGCAATCATAACAAATCAAACAAAAATCATCAAGGCTGCGATTGATAATCAGAATATAGAACTACTACAACATCTTCGTCAGGAGAACATAAATTTTTATAACCAGACAAATAGAGAATTAACCCTACAAAACCGGTTCTTCGCCATAACTTCACTAATAAACGAACTAGAAATAAATTTAGACATACTAACAATCGCCATACACATCGGTAAAAACGGGATAATTCATTCTTAATACTAAACCCGAGCGAGTTCATTTAACATTTAAAAGAACTAGAAAGCAAAGGACTAGAGAAATCCTCCGTTCCTTTAACGGAAGACAACTTCCAAACACTCATTAGCATTAGCACTATAAAAATTCTTACACAACGCGGAAACATCATCTATTGTATTAAAACATTATATCCAATACCATGCTACAATACACTAGTAAAACCCCATACAATAATTATAGTTCCACACTACTACTATATTACGAAAGAAACTAATTATATTGCCATAGATGAAACATACCTAAACAAACAATGTAAAAATGTTCACGACGATCTTATTTGTAAACAAACGCTACCCGTTCACCACGTTGTCTCGAAACCAAACTGCGAATCTCAATTACTACTAAAAACAAGCGAACGCCTGGAAAAATGTGTGATAAAACCCGTTAACATTGACGAAGTAACTTTTATACATTTATCGGCTAGCAATAGATACATCATCGTCCCAGAAAAATCACTCGATGTACAAATAGCCTGTAAGAAAAACGAAACAGTTAGATTTTCGTAACCTACTCTCGAATCAAACGTAGACGACTGCACATTCTTAACAGCTAATAACTTATTTAGAACCGTCTAAAATCGATTACCAATCTCCACCTGCGCTTTCCTGAATTATCTAATTTCTTCGGCACGATCCAGATTGGCGAATTGTAGGGTGAATCTGATTCTTCTATAATTCCCTGAGTTAACATGTGTTCGATTTGTCTGTCGATTTCTTCTCTATGGACTTCGGGTGGTCTGTACGATTTTATATTAATGGGTCGTTGTGTTTTCAACTCGATAACGTGCTTGGTCAAATTAGTGCAAGGTAAGTCTTCATCTTCAAAGGAAAACACTGTTACCGTCTTATTTTTGAATCTACCGTTAAGTTAAACGATTTCCCAAGGTGGAGATCGAGTTTGGATCTTTCGAAAGGCCGATGGAGGAGGAACAGTGGTTACCTTAATGATTGACTCTTGATAACTGATAAGATTTGATGTTTATGCAATAAGCTAGAATAAGTTGAGATCTTTTGAATATACAGATTAGAAACTATACTTTATCCCTGAGTTACAGCGAGATTGCGAGGTTCTTAGAATACTACAAACGCAGTTGTGTTTACAATAATTAAATCTAGATCCGTTTATGTTTGAATTTGAATACACCCACCGAAGGACTTCACTAGAGTTGCTTGTAGATTTTGAAATAATAATATATGTTGAAAAACACGCGATCGTTATCGGTTGTGCCCGTCTCTAACACCGAAGGTGAAAGTTTTTGTATATATATTTACTGGTAACTTGTTCTTCCGGGTCGCGAAACGCCGTCTTTGTGCTACGCCAACCGACGTATGATACAGGAAGTCTTGAGATATTGACTCTTGCGTTTTATGGGCAGTGAAGTCAATGCTCAAAACAGGCCATATCATCGCAACCCAAATTGACAGTGCATGAATGGAAGGTACACTATTATTGTGTAGGTTCTGGCGTCACTACAATTGAATATACGTGCGCAAAGACGGTATCTAACTAGAAATTATTTTAATTTAAACGACGCGATCTTCCAAGTTGCGAGAGCTTGCTCGCCTGAGCGTAGGAGTAACTGCACAACTGACTTGAGGGTAATGAGCTTAGAAGTCAGTTGACAGTATTGGCTGTGCTTGATCTAGAGTGCCAAAGAATGCAGAAGGAAGAGTTGCCTCACTGAGGATGGCGAGTCTTGTTTCTGACCTTTGGTATACGATAACTTGGAAGAGTATCCCCTAGATACCTTGATTGAATGTGAGCAAACGCTCATTGATTGCAAATAGAATTTATAAAGAATGTTTGAAGTTATACGCGTGACTCTGATCACCGAAGCGCAACGTAATCTTTTAAGATATCGATCTAGTCGGCTCGGCCGTTCAAATCAGAGTGACGATCGATGGATCGACACTAAGGTCCTTCCGTGGGTCCCCACTTGGTGGGGAGCAGCGCTTACGCATTCCTATGTTATCACGGTGGGGGTGTTCCATCCTCGCTCTCTTTCGGTCTATCTGCGTCGACAAAGTAGGAGTTTGCGGAGAATATGTAATCGTCTGATATGTACGGTTACAACACGTCGTTGTAAGAAGCTACTATTTTTTCTAAACTCGGTTTCAATGCTGGATCCACATGTTACAGACCAACCTTGTTTTTCAGAATTTCGATCCTTTTCGGTACAGAAGGGTTCATTTCATTAACAGGATAAATGAGTGTTTCGTCAGTAGGATTGTATATATGTACTAGGCAAATGCGTTCGTTGATGGGGACCTTTGCGGTGTGGATTTTATTAGGTAGAACGAGGATTTCTGTCTCGTGTTTTACAGTTCGTTCGTCTAGCGTTAAATCTGTATTAGTGATTGTGTATTGGTAGCGTTCTAAAAACGGGAGTCCAATTATACCGTCTTCTAATAACGGAAAATTGTCTGGTACTACGTAGAAGAAATGTTCCTTGTCGAAAAAATTGAGTTTAACCTTTCCTTTACTAACGTGTCTATCGTTACCCATTAAAAATATCCGTTCTTCGCTTACAATTTCGCGATCTTTTACGTGTTTGGTCTTAATTAAATTTAATTCTGCCCCTGTGTCGAGGAGGAAGCATCCGGTAGATCGGTCTTTGAAATATGCTCGTATATAGCGCAATTCTCGTATATAGCGCAATCCCTTTCCCACATTTCGGCTTCTAAGGTATAGCCTTGTGCTTCCAAAATGTTGTTAGGGCTTTTAGGATATACTAACACGCCAAGCTCGGAACGCAAATTCTTTATATAGGTTTTCACCGTTTCTTTATCGGCAGTATTAAAGGCGACTTGTCTCGAAGTCGGTCGCGTATGTTCATTATGAATGGCATACCGGTATTCGTGTAGTTGTTGTCTAAAGCGAAGAGTGTAACTCATAACGCTTTCTGTACGGCTTCGTTTTCGAGTTATTAACAAAAAACACTGGCCAATCTGAGCGCGCCTTAAGCACGGGCTGAACCATGAGTGTGTTGGGTTTGTTCTGCGTTCAAGCCGTGGTCGTGATCAAGTGCATCAGCACCACATTGGTATAGTAGGACTCGCTGGGCAAAAGTTGTATGGAATAATGAATGAAAAAAAGAAAAGAATAATAGTATCGAATTATTGGTTGCTCATGAACAAGCATGCTGATGCACTTGATCACGACCACGGCTTGAACGCAGAACAAACCCAACACTCTCGTGGTTCGGCCCGTGCTAAAGACGCGCTCTGATTGGCTAGTGTTTTTTGTTAATAACTCGAAAACGAAGCTTTAATCAACATTTTGGCAAAGGAAAAAGTTGTTTAGGATCACCTTGTCAATCATCCCTTTTCGGTTGTTGACGTAGTGGTTGGACACCCTGTATAAATGTACATACGCGCAGATGGTGTTTAAATTTCGCTCTTGATTTATAACCATCGATACAAAAGATCCTCGACTGATACTCGAGACATATCGATACTACAGACTATCGATAAATATTCCCATGGCAGTGTCGCCTTACCACTCTAAACATATTCACGTGATAACGTTTCACGTTACACTTACAAAAAATTGTATGGCCTCATTGTCGTCTTCCAAAAACTCCGTCACCCATTCCTCGTCGTTTCCAGGTTACTCTACATCTTTATTCTTCTCTAGCCCAGCGGGTTCACCCTCACTGCGACTTCTAAATTTTAGACGAATTTTCTTCTTAATTTTACAGCGGTTACTCCCGAGCGACGCATCTACATCGCCCGGGAGCGCGCCCTCCCCCTGCCCCTCAATTCCTGGACTGAGAAAAATTCTCTCAGCCCAAGTAAAACCTAAGGTTTTTCACCACTCCACCAATGCACCAACAAGAGTCCTTGGGAAAACTCACCAAGCGTCACCTCTAGATGCACCGTACTCACAGGAAAAAACCAGTAAAAATTTATCTCTATCGCACCCGCCTCGATTCGGACCGTTCGTCTCAACCGTCTCAGCGGAAGTCTCGCCCCAAAAATGACCACCTTTCGGTAACAAAGGCATGTGACAAAGACATGCCGCATGTCCAGTCTTCTACTATCTATAGTCACTGGCTGTAAGCTGATAAACTGAAATTTTTATCTAAGAAAGCAGAGAATGGTATACTGAGAACAGTAACGAGAACAGTTAAAATGGCTAAACATAATGTAAAGGTAAAATCAGTTTCTGTTGTATAATTAGAAAAATTTTAAATATTTATTCAACTTATTTTAAGGTATATTCCTAGGAAACGGCCCATTCAGCAATCGTGACAAATTATACGTCGTTTGATTCGTCTTATTGAGTATATTAATAATTTGTAGTGATTATTTGCGGAAATTCATGGTTTCGTTGAAACTTTGCTGTAAAGTTACAATAAAAAAGTAAGGTTAAGTAGGTTTTGGTACGTTTATGGACGAAAGCAAGTGACTGTCATATTGACTTCTACCCACGCACCAAATTGGCTGAAAAATTTAATCTAGGCACCCTGATTTTTAAATAAAGATAGTACACACTGTACTTCAAAAGGTGGATGAGGTTGGTTTGGTTATATATTTTTGCGGCCGCCAACACATGTGGCATTTGTGCGTTGAACAAACATTTTTTTGCATAACTTTTGAACCGTCTCTCATTTGGCGGCTACACATTTCCAACTTTGATCATTATCCTTTATGTAATGTAATGTCCTTATGTTAATGTAATAATGACAACCACTTTGCTATTTGGATGCTTACAATATCCACTTTTTTATAATTACAAGCTGAGTATAGGTATCTCTACTTCCAACAGGTACCAAAGATATCTATATTTCTGGTTTTCATCCTTTATCATTATAGCATTGCCACATTATGAACAATTCATTACTTTCTTTATTAATATCTAATCCTGTAGGAATTTGAAAAGTAGAATTCAAATAATTAATAAATGAATCTTCTTCTGTTTATCAAACTGAAACTTCTGATTTTCTTGTTTTTCAAAGTTTATGCATGTAGTGATTTGTAGTAAAAATGAGTGCATACGTGGTTCCAAAAATGTGGAATTTGATAAAAATTCGTGAGTTTTGCTAAAATCATAATTTATTTTTCAAATTCCTGCAGGATAAAATGTTACTAACGAAAGGAAAGAGTTGTGCACAATGTGGCAATGCTATGAAAATGATGAATGGAAACTGTAGATGTAGATTAACTATTCCAGCATCTTTAAATCTTAGTAAAAGAAAAAAGTTTGTGATGCCAAAATCTCCATAAAAGAAGGTACATGGTTTGCAAAAACAAAACCAAGTTATGAAATGGTATTAAAATTAACATACATGCTTGTATATAATTACGACCCTTATTACATTATAAAAAAGCTGGAATTAAACAAAAATACTGTTTCGCAATGGTCCCATTTTGTTCTGCATGTCATGGTTGATTGGTTACAAAACTGTTGTGAAATGATCAGTGGAGAAGGAAAAATTATAGGACAGTGGGTATTCGGTGGTATTGAAAGGGACAGTGGAAAAATATTTTTGGTGCCTGTCAAAAGCAGAGGTATTAACACCTTGATGGCTGTGATAAAAGAGTGAATTAGGCCAGGGACAACAATCATATTCGATAGTTGGAAGGCCTATGATGTATTAGAAAAAGAAGGTTTCAAGGATTTAAAAGTAAATTATAGATGAATTTAGTCATAAATCATTTAGTAAATTTTGTAGATCCTGATACCGGTGTCCATACCAATTCAATTGAAAGTATGTAAGTACTTGGAGGCACACAAAATATTTTTTACCTGAATACATATTGTTGGTTAGTATTTATAACAAAAATTATTTAAATGGGAAAAAAACAATCATTTTGTCTCCCTTAAAGTAATGTTTAAACATTATTTTTATTATCTATTTCTAGAAAGAAGAATAATTTCATAGGTTATTTAAGCCACTATATTTTTACTAAATGGGCCAGAGATGATAATTTATATTTATTTGACACGGTTTTAACAGAAATAGCAAAAATATTATTTGATTCTGCTGAAAATCAAAATATGTCGAATTTGGAGGATTGATTCTGTTCATATATATTATGTAAATATAGAATGGATGTAGTAATGACAGTCACTTGCTTCTATTCATAAATGCGTCAAAACATACTTAATCTTACCTTTTTATTGTAACTTTACAGTAAAATTTCAACGAAACCACAAATTTCCGCAAACAACGATATACAAATTAATAACATACAGAATAAGACAAATTGAACGACTTATAACTTATGATTGCTAAACGGGCCATTTTCTAGGAATGTTCCCATTTCTGTTATGTAAAATATTTAATTAAAATCATTGTGATTTTACATGTGGCTGATATTCCTTTTTTAATTTAAAGAACACCTGTTTATATAGATTCACATAATTATAAATTACAGATTGGAATAATTGGTGGTTCTGGTTTAGACAGTCCACAGAATCAGATATTAAATTGTTGTACAATCACCATACGGGAAGAAGCAAAAAATGATTTTGGATTACCATCTAGTGATCTTTATCATGGTAATATTAATGGTGTAGATGTCATCTTGTTATCGAGGTAATATTTCTCTTCTTAAAATATGTGAAATATATATTCTAATGTAACAAAGAAATATATTTAAAAAAAGAAATTTGATGTAATTATGTATAGACATGGACCAGGTCATAAAATAAGCCCCAGTGAAGTAAATTACCGAGCAAATATTGAAGCTTTGAAATTAGCTGGATGTACTCATGTACTTGCATCAACAGCCTGTGGTTCTTTACAAGAATCCATTTCTAGAGGACAACTAATTATTCCTGATAGTTTTTTAGATAGAACAATAGCTAGAAAGGTAACTTTATATGATGGTGCTTCACCAAAATATAAAGGTAAATGTTTTATTTTAATATAGCATTAAATCTTCAATTATATAAATTATAATGTAAATTTTCAGGTGTATGCCACATACCAATGGAACCAGCTTTTGATCCAAGTACATCTGAAATACTATTTGAAATTGGAAAAGAATTAGGATATGAAATAAGAAAAGGTGGAACAATAGTAACTATAGAGGGACCTCGTTTTTCCTCAAAAGCTGAGAGTAATGCATTACGCCTATGGGGCGGACACTTAGTTAATATGACTACATGCCCAGAGGTACTATTTCATTAAAATGTTTAGCACATATAGAATAGAAAATACACTGTATTGTATTTTTGATTAGGTATATCTAGCAAAAGAAGCAGGACTTTTATATGCAAGTATAGCAATGGCAACAGATTACGATTGTTGGAGAGATTGTGAAGATAATGTTCATGCAGCAGATGTAATAGCGGTATTTAAACAAAATGTTAATAAAATAAAGAATATACTTGTAAAAGCAGTTGAAGTTATTAATGAAAGACATTGGGACAAAGAAATTAGTTGTTTACAGGTAATATTTATCAAATATTTAAACAATAACGAAATGATAAATTGATATCAGACAAATAACCATCAATTTTTTCTTATTTCAGAAATTGTGCCAAACCAGTAATGTCTCTTCTTGAACTTCATAATTTAGTATTATTCAATTAACCCTTTGCAGACGGGACAATTCGAAGCTGAGCGCTTTGTAGAGTAGAGTCGCTATAGCAGCTGTTTTCGTCGAATTCATATATGCGTTTATCGGCTACATTCATGGTTTACGTTGAATATACATATATACATACAGGGTGATTCTCTCGCTACGCAAGACAAAAGCCGTGCCGCACAATGGAACCCCCGCTGTTCCGTTTCTTGTTGTCTCAGTCATAGACACACACGGAGCAGTTTTGGGTCCGGCAATATGGGCCCTGGGTCTCTTTACCCGCAAAAACAGCAGATTGTGCGGCACGGCTTTTATCTTGCGTAGCGAGAGAATCACACTGTATATGCGTCGATCGTCCCTAAAGGATTAAATAACTATCATTCCGATTTATATACATATTAAAAGGTTTTAAGAACACGAATTATTTTTTTTAATAAATGCGACAATGACAAGGACTTTGCATTTATTCTTTAATAGTATTCACCTATACAATTAATAAAAGCAAGTCAGTTAAATGATATATCTACAAGCTGTAATGGCATAATTCATCATATACATATAAGAACTCATTTATTCATAAATTCAACAAATAGGTGTGCTTTAACTAACACTATTATTGCTTTAACTATGGAGTTTTTACAATCGGAATTTAAAAATAATGCAATACAAAGATTGTAATCGATTTCGGGATATATGTATAAAATATAATAGTACATTTTAAAAATTATTATTATATGATACACGTAACATTTTTAATACATGGAATATTTTAACCGCATGACGCATAGGCAACTGTTCTCTGTTCTTCCTTCTTCCACTTTTTTTAATTTTTAAATAAAATTTAATCGATGACGATACAATTTTATGTTCTTTTTTTTATTAACAGTTTATCGTCAACAATATAATTACATTTGGAATACAAGTGTTTTGTAACACTGGCTAATTATTGAAACAAGAATTATAAACTGTGTAGATTATTTTTAATGAATTAAAACATGTTGCACAAATTAGAAACAGTGTTATCATACCTCTAAGCCATTCTGTTTTTAAAACATATGTACAGATTATAATATTTAAACATACACTTTCGTTTATGCTTGTGTACCGGAAGTATTATTTCGAAGAAAATTAGATATGAGCAATATTTAAAATAATATCGCATGATATACTTTTTATACACAAAGCATTTATAATACAATCTGTTCGATCACTTGAAATTTACTATAGTGATTTATTAATGGTACTTTTTCAATTTTTGTGCAGCCTTCAAATCAATACTTTAATACTTCGTTTCAATTCATTTAGGTACTATCCGAACTTGAAATATAATGTTAATAGTAATACTTCAACGTTTAACTAATATTTTATAATTTTATAACTCCTAGTTAGTAACACTGATACTGGCACGTATCTGTATACTCTGGATTGTTAAAACATCAGTTTTCAATGTTTTACGAAAGGAATTCATATATTTTAACATTTATATAACACTTACTTTGCTGTTTACCTCATAATACATGCATTATGAAGATTTTTTGGATGAACACAGTGAAAGCATATTGATCCATATTATAATATGTTTTCGTAATAATATGAACTCTTCCTTTCAATATTAACAATTTTCTTAATTTTATAGATAATACATAAAATAATACAGTTTTATGTCGGAGTATTTTTATTTTGACATAGTTTTCGTTCCTTTTTCTCTTGTTGTAATACTATGTAAAATAGGTTGTGCTATATTTAACGGAAACTTTAATAAATTAGCGTATATAGACATTGCAAAGAATATATCCTTATTACAATAATAATAATAATTTCGATATTTTCAGTTTTTTAAACATGGAAAGCCAATACAACAATTGTATTATGAATTTCATTTGTACTAGTATTTTGTTCGGTTAAATGTAGCCTGTTCAAAAAAAAAGGAAAGTTTTTAATGTGTTTTCTAGAATTTATACAAATAATTGTACAATCTATTATGCACAGTTTATATTGAGCTAATAACAAATTACATACATCTCTCCAGGCATTTTGATGCACTATAAAAATATCATTTTTTTTTTTTTCAATAAATATTTTTTATTTACTCCTGGAAGTGAACCGATGAGAATTACGTTTAAAATTGAAAATGAAAACAATAAAACGAAACAAAATGCAAAATATACTTCATGTACATAACAATATTATTTTGTAGTACGCACCTTTGTTAAGTACCTGGAGTTACAGAAGTATGTATTATTTAAATGAAAATATATTTAAAATATAGGGAAATAAATTCATCTCTGATGATTAAACCTTATTGTCGACCATATCTACGTTGATTTTATAATACACATAAGGAAAATAGTCATTTTGACCAAAACCTAATCCTGGTATATCCACACTCTGCTTGAACAAACCAACATGAAAAAAGGGTATTAATTCAAGTACTTTAAGGGAACAAACTTTCATTAAAAAGTTAGGTAAACGAATAAAATATATTGATAAAATAATGTTATCAGAATACTGTAACTTACATCTTGATTTCCTGCAGAAGATGTAGCAGAGGAATCTAGATGAGCATAAAGCTGATTAAGAACATCGCGTAATCGTCTCGCACATTTTTTATGAGGATGCAGTAATATTGCTTGGAAATTTACAGGCAAGCCGTACCTATTTATTATTATTTTAATTAGTATGTAAATATGTTCTTAATAATACCAATTATTGCGCATTATTACCTTAGGACAGACTCTACAAATACACGTAGGGCTTTTACATGAATCCATGCACAGAAACATTCACTGAAATTAACTTTCAACCAACGTACAAGCGGGCCAAATTGTTTCTTTTTATCGGTTACCAATTTTGTTATCTCATTTTTTCCTATAAGACAGTTTAGTTAATTTGACAATTATAAATAATTAAATACGAATAAAAGTAGGCCAATATCGAAGTATATATTACCTGCCGCTAATTCTTCTTCATTGTATGTAAAATCACGAACGATAAATTTTTTCTCACGAGCATGTAACTTAAATTCATCAATGACTTTCTTGAATAAAGTAATAGTAAATAATCCATAGTCAGCATCTTGAATAATAAGCTGTGAGCTACGTGGTACAATCATATTCGTTAACTTTTCATATCCGCTGTACCAATCATGGAAGTTTGCTCTAAAAGTTTCATAATCATTATTATCACAGACAATTAAACATTAACAATAAGTGTTAAAATAAAATATATAAATAAATGTATATACCTTGGCACAATTACAAGTAAAGTAGTTAGATATTCACTATCCAGGATGAAATGTTCTTTTTTCACCAAATCTGCCAAATTTCTTGTTAATAAACTTCCTCTGTATAATAATAATGTAATATCATTATTTCATATAGATTTTTTAATAAAATACCATGCTCAAGATTTAAAGATATGTAAATTATTAAACAATACAACAAACAAATATTAATGATAAACTTACGTTTGTTTCTTTTCAAGATTTTGTAAACTGCCTTTTAAATTGTTGTACGTTGTAGATTTCGTTTTGAGATCTGCATCAATCTGACCAACTTGTTTGCTGATTATATCAGCAATGTTTCTTAATGATTGTTTGATAGGATATTTTGCCATATCCCACTGGAATCGAGTTATATAAGATGGTAGATCACCTAGTAAATTTAAAATCTTAGTATAGTTGTCTTTTGGGATAACATTTTTTTAGGTGTCTGCATAAGTATTCGAACAGAGCTCAATAAAACTTTGGAAATATATGAAAGTACAAATAACATGCAATGTTTAAATCACATGTAATGTACTAAGTGCTTAAATGTGTTTACAAATGCAATACTGAGTAGATTTTAAATGATTTGATAAAATTGATAAGCTAAAAATAATAAAGCTCTGTTGAATTGTATGGTGTATTGGTCAAACACACAAGCTCGGTGAATGTTTTACATACATCATAATACATTATCTTAAATACAAATATTCTGTTAATTACATTTTTAAACAATTTTGTAAAATAATGGTATCATTAATAATTTATTTGTATCATATCAAATGATGAAGAACTTTCGCATTTTTAAGTATGTGTGTATGCACAATACAGTATGTACATAAATACATATCTAATTAAATTAATGTTAGCTGGACCACAATTAAAGTAATTCTTACGTTGACTCTGTGATAAGGAGAGTATTGATAATAATGAGATAACAGAGAAAGACTGTTTCTACTAAACTTATTTTTTGATTCTAGTACGCTCCTTACTTATTATTAGCATTACAAAAATAAGCGAGACATTAACAAAATACAGCATGCAAACATTAATAAAGCATTTTACAATATATTACCAATTTATTTTTTTTTTATTATTAAATTTATTTCATTTAAACGGAATTAATCATTTTTTAAGTAAATAAATCTTTAAGCAGATATTGGTTTAAAATAATCATTTCATTTATATGTCTGTATGGTAAAGAATTACTCGTAAATCACGTTTGAATGAATTAAGCGGCCCCAGCTAGTCCCTTTGATTACTGAAGATTATCTTAAAAAAAAAGAATTTTTAAATTACAGATCTTAAAAAAATGTGTATATGTATAAAATATTCATTCAAACAAAATTTATGATAACTCTCCAGCTATTGTGAGTTTTGAACTACGTTATTATGTTCTTTTATAGAGCTGCTAATTGATAATCTGGGATGGACAAACACCCACGCACGCATGCACGCATACGCATGTATATTTATAACTTGTTAAAGTGTGACTCACATGAATACTATAAAATGTAGTGATGGATACATAGAATGGATTCTTAGAGTTTTTTAACATTTTCTTATCAAATGTTATTTTTCTTTTTGTAATCAATGACCTAAACGATATAGTATGAACAATATTAACATATACACAAAATATACAGCTAAGCCAAGATATTTAAGCATTTCATGCTGCTCATGAGGTACTTTATAAAAGTTGATCAGTAGGATGTTTTCTGTGACATGAGTGACTTGTAGTGTTGAAGGATATTGAGCACCATACTGTCATCAAAATTTATCTGATCATGCGAAACAGTATTTTATTAATTCCATGTACCGATCGATAAGTGTTTTAAAATTTTTGGTAATTGTGTCTCCTCTGTAATCTGTGCTAACATCTATAATACATATTATTGTACATGTATTATAGTTTGTGCAGTAATGTCATCTATAAAAATCATAGAAAGTAACAGTAAAAAAGCATGTGGAAGCTGGATATGAAAAAAGAATGCTAAAAAATATACTGAAAGAAATAAAGTTTCATATGTATAAAAAGTGTTACTATATTCAAATATAGCATATCTTTCACAATTATTCTTAAACCATACTTCAGATTTGAATATTTTATATTTAGAAGTACATTAAGTTTTAATATCAGTTCACTTAAATCATTGAGGTAGTTGAAAGTAATGACAAAGCAATTATATTTCAAAAACGTATTACATTAACACATACTTATTTTTGATCATAAAGGTTTTAGATTAAAGCAGAGTAGTATGGTATAAGAAAATATGAAATAAGAGATTACAAAAAGAAGCAATTAAAATGTAAAGAGGTTGATAATAGTCAAGGTAAAATACTATGTGTTCATTCATTCGTCCACAGCACCTGGAAAAATTGATTGAACGATTTTCAAAAATATTAATTGAATGTGACACTTTCAAGGAATTTTTTAAAAAGAAGTTGAACGATCACTGAATGATTTTACTAATTTTAAAAAAACCTGTATTTATTCATAACTAGGACGCAGGAGTGAAAAAGAACTAGCTAAGAACTTAAAACATACTAGAGCATTTTCCGAAAAATAAACATTAAGAATGTACGCACATTTGCTGCAATTAAAATGTGCTAGAACATGGGTAGCTGTCTTTGTTATCTTCCAATTTTATAATTCCTGCGTGCACAAGAAATCAAATGTTGTTGGTAACATCAGTGAAGAAATTACTGTGATACAATATAATACAAAGTATCTGATATACTAGGCTTTTGTATTTTGAAACGCAAGCTAAGTAAAGTAAGTCAAGTATTTTTTCCTTTTGGTACTGTCTCACTTCGTGTATGCTGTAAGCACTGGAGAGAGATTGTCATGACTTTTACAGGGCGTCCTTCAACTTTGATTAGATAATTGAAGTATATACAATTTATATTTAATAATTGTTAATAAAAAAGAAACTATCTTTGATATAATGCGGATTCTATCACAAGAAAGTGTAGAAAATTTTTAATTACAGTGACAAAACAAAAAATAATATGTAATAAGCAATGCTTTCTCATTTGATACAGCACAATAACATTTAAGAAGACTTTTAATAATTTCTTACATTAGAGGCAAAATTTGGCATAAAATATCTCAGCATTACAAACATTGCATATGTAGTGCAGTTGTGCAAAATTGACATTGAAGGAAATGCGCACTAGGATCATCAAAACGATTTTAATAGATATGTGTACATATATATATAAAGTGTCTAGAGAGAACCGTAATAGACTAACGTGAGTTTCAATTATTATCTTTCTTTTCTTTTTTTCTAAGCAAAAGCTGCATGCGAAAGTCGTTATTTAAAAACTCGAATACCATTAAATGACAACCTCTCTCTCTCTTTCTCTCCTATAACTACCTCCAAAGGAGATAAGACAAGACAAAAATCGGTCGCTAAACGGGCGAATCACGAGGTGCACAGGAACATAGGTCTGAACAAGTCTCGCAGCTATGTTGGGAAAGGTTTCGATGAGTGACCTGGCGGTGATAGGACGGGTACCTGGATTGGGCAAATTGCCGCTATGGTCTTGGTCTTGGTCTTGGTCGTTGTTTTGATCCACATCGTCTTCGTCGTCGTCGTCGTCGTCGTCGTCGTCGTCATTGCCGAGCGATTTTCGATTGGAGGTAGACTGATCTGCTTTCTCGGTAGTCCGATGACGCAGCGCCGACTGCCATCTGGTCTCTCCTTCGCTGCTACAGTTTGATGAAAGGGAAAGACTTGGACTTGTAGGAGTAGGACTAGGAATAGGTGTGGAAGAGGTAGAAGCAGCGCACCAATGCGCGTGGTAGCATGAATATGCTGATAAGGGATCATTTGATGATCGAACATCACAGATGCCTTGAGGGCTGTGTGATGACTTCTTCTCAAAATCAGAAGTGTGATTATGATGTTTATGACTGTGATGATGCTCGTGATGATGATGATGACGCTGGTGATGATGCTGACCTAAACAGGTGGCCGGTTCTGGTTCACATTTCTCCGATTCCTTCCACTGCTTGTGGTGCTCCCTTGAAGTCTTGTGTGATGGGGTGACGGGGGTGTTTGGCGGGGTGTCCGGACCCCCTTCGGGGCTCGAGCTCTCCCCATCCACTGACGTTTGACCTATCCATTACAGCCCAGTCCCAATCTCCGCGCGATTTTTCTTACGTCTCGTTCAACTATTATTGCGTCCTACGCAAATGCCTAACGACAATGCTGTCGAAACTCAATCAAAATAACTCAAAAGAGAAAGGAAATAAACACGGAGTATTTAGCGTGTAGAAACCTATATGTATACCCTAATGACCAAATTGTAAAAGTATGACAATTTTTAAAAGCATTTAATTTCTATAATCCAATTCTAACAAGTGTACAAATATCACTATCGCTACAATGATACATATTAAAAATAGTTACTTTTTTATTGAAAAGGGATTTAGATTATTCATAAAAATATGCATCTCATGATTATATTATTCAACTAATAAAATATATTTATAGTGATACACTATTGACATTTTTTATTTTCCTTATAAAAACTTGAAGTACAATAGTTACTATTTATAATTTCAACTAGCTGTTTCGTTAAATACTCCGATATGGGGGAAAATAATAAAGAAACGAAAGAAGAAGAATAAAGACAAATATAAAATGAAATATAATCAAAATGAACAGAAGAACCAAAGTCTGTATGAGCAAATGATATGCAGTGATACATACTTAAATTGCAAATGATTAATAATGCTAAGAGGTAACAACTAAACAAACTGAAGGAAAGAAAAAGAATTCTTATAATAACTAAATGGAGCTTGGTGACCACAGTAACCCAAGCAACTCCTTGCGTCCTTTGTAAATTTTTTGATAACAAGTGTGGTCCATATAATAACAGGTATGTTTCTATGTTTCTATATGTTTGTAATCTTTCTTCCATATCATAATCACGCGATAATACTGCATGTTTGTGTATTATAATTTTTTTATAGCTTTATACAACATCTTTGATGGTGCACATGTATGAGCATTTGTTAATAAAATAATAAGGTAGGGATATAGGGTTAATGTGGTCCAAATTAAACAAAGCAAGCCAAGCAACACCACAAATATAAGAAATTATTTGTAGTAAGTAATAAATTAAATGACTTCTAACCCAATTATAGTAATAAGCATTCTACAGATATATATCTTATATGCCAAAATATAATGTGTACCATTATATTTTATACTTTAAATGGAATCTTTTATTTTCGTTCCAACGTGAAATTAAATAAACGTTATTTAACAAAATTAAATAAAATAGAAAAATAATTATTACAAATTCATATAAATTACATGAAATGGTTTTTTGGAAAACCATCAAATTGTTAAAATATTTTTACTAATTAGAAAAAAAAAAAAAAAAAATGAAATATGAATATAGTATACAACATAAATAATTATAACATTTATGGTACACATCATATTTATGAATGTTAATTACTATGTGCTATAGCAACAAGTTTTATTTTGCCTGTATATTATCCTCAACAAAAATCACATATCTAGTCAGATAGATTTATAAAAAATAATATTGTTGTCATATAAGAATTAGCTTACACAGACAAAATTTTGTTAATCATCTATCAATCTATTAATGTAAGGTACTGAGGAGAATAAGGATCAAAGACTCTAATTGTGCTATTCATCATTTTCAATGAATAAATTAAAGTTTTTAGAACTCAACTGATATACATGTTTAAAGAGTATTATTAAAACAAAAATCTAAATTGTGTGCATGTTTTGTGTTGTGTATAGTATTCATTGATGTCTTTGCCAACCAATATTATTTTGTATTAAAACATCATACACAAAAAATCGATCGATACCTGTTTGCAGGAGTCCAAAAAATGGTACTAATTAATTGTACTAACTTTATAATCTTAAGAATTTCATTTGACAAAATTTTAATACTGGAGGAAAAAACTATCGTATATGTAGTTTTGGACCCCTGAATTTTTTAATAACGTATCCTCCTTTATTAGAGGATAGATATAAGTATAAATTAAAGAGGAAATTCTAACAATACAAGCCCAACAACATTGTACTCACTATTGTTAGCCATAAGATTTTCATGGAGCTTGTCCCTTTGATCTTCTAAAACTTCTCCCAAATATGTTGCCACCTTGCGTGTCACTTGTTCAACATAGGTGTCAAGCTTTCCTAAATCATCCGAGAGACCAACCAGCTGATCTAATGTTCCAACCTTCAGATCAGGGATGTGAAATTTGTAATTGACCGACAAAGAATGTTGCTTTGATGTTAAATCGTTCATGGTTTCCCATGTTTGCTGACATGTTTTGTCCCCTGGTGCAGATATCAACCAATATTCTGTCATTCTGATATGTTATTTTAATGTAAACGTTTTATTGTATCTGAAATGTAATATTACGCTGCATTAATTAGATTATATCAACTGCAATTACATCATTTTGTACAACAATTGTGTTAATAGAAAAATAAGTAGTTTTGTCAACAACCACCTGCTTCATTTTCGAACTTTATTAGTTTATCAAAATGACATGTATATAATTCCACAATCTTAAAAATATTAATTGCTCTGTTGGTTAATCGGGTACGAGGCTGTCAGTAGTACGAAACTTAGGTTTGAAAATAATTTTAAATGAAGTAAAAAATTAAATGAAAGAAGGGGGTGTGGCCCAATATATTTCTTCAACGATGGTATTATGTAATTAAGCGCGCTTTCCACGTGACATATACTAAGTGCAAGAATGGCGCGCTGAACTTACATAGCGATCAATATAGGGAAATGACAAATGTACATGAAATTGCATATGAAAAAAGACGTCCTTGAATTACTGTTGGCCGTACAAAAATTTCAACGTAAAATTAATCTTATCTCTTGGAATGACTTAATAATGTCCGCTAATGTATTACTACAAAAAAAATCGATAACACGATCAAGTACATCCTTTTCTTCAAAAAATGCGTCGAACTTCGAATAATATTCAGATCTAATGGAAATCAGTACAGCTAACGTAAACGTTATCTCGTCGTAATAAAAATGTATATTATAAATGTTTTACAATAACTTTCAATCTATTAATCATAAAACATGGGTTAATACTAATTTTTTATTTGACCACAATATGTTAATACTGACTCATTCTAAATAAGGAACAAATAAATTTTACTTACGAAATGTTTAAAATTTCAACGTTTAGTTAGAGAACACGGCAGATGCTTGAATTTCTCGAGAAATTCAAAACATTCGCTGTTCTGATCACTCGTCGTCGAAACTATCAGAAACCATTGTGACCTCACGTGATGACAATTGTGTGCTGCTGCCTTACGACCCACCCGGCAACTAAAGCATAAACTAAGGCACGGTATCATCAGCTGACTTGGAATTGTCTGCAACGATAATCACTCTTACCAATCTATTTAGAAATTTAACGTTTACATTCCGATCAATACGTTAAAATAATCATTATTTTTTACTACTAACATTTGTTTTTGTATATCCGTATTGCAAAGGTTGGACGAGCGAATACAAATTCTTTTGATTTGAGAACGTTATATTCATCGAAAAAATGATTTCATTATCAGAAACGATTGGTAGCACTGTAACACGCTACGCATCATTGCTCATGCGTGAACGTTGCTCAGTCTATAATAACATTTGACGTTTTTGATAAAGTCAAGTAATTTGTAATCGTTTCTTAATTTTACAAAGAATAATACATAATGGGTTGCGATGGTGGAACTATTCCTCGTAGGGATGAACTTGTAAGAGTTAAAAAGAAGCCAGAACAGGTAGTTTGTTATTAAATTTTTACATAATTAACATGCTTATGATATCTACAATAAATGTATAATTCCCTTTCATAGAAAGATAAGGAGGCAGAATTAGCATTCAAATGGAGACATTGTTCAATAAAACAATTACCACTACAGGCACCAGTTGTTGGCTGTACTCTAGGACGTCTTTATAGCAAAGAATCTGTATTGGAAGGTCTTCTTGATAGAAGCACACTTCCAAAATCAGCTGAACATATCAAAAGCTTAAAAGATGTAAAGAATTTAAATCTGACAGGAAATCCAGCATTCGATGGTAATAAAGCTAAAAAGGGTGACTGTTATACAGATGAGGGTAGAAGTCCTTACATTTGTCCAGTTATTGGATTGGAGATGAATGGCAAATACAAGTTTTGCTTCTTATGGTCATGTGGATGTGTAATGAGTGAACGTGCACTTAAAGAAGTCAAAACTACAGTAAGTATCAATGTAATATAAAAATAAATGTGTTATAATAAGACATAATTATTTACATGTTAAAATGTTTTTGTTTTTTTAGATTTGTCATCAGTGTCAGCAACCTTTTACTGAGACAGATATTGTTATTATAAATGCAGAAGGTGATGATTTCAAATTGATGGAAACAAATATGATGCTTAGAAAGACGCTTAAGAAGAAATTTAAAAAGCAGAAACTTAGCGAGGATAATCAAACTGAAGATGTTAAACAGGAAGAAGCACCAAAGAAAAAAATTAAGAAAGATGATAAGGTTGCTGCCACTAAAGTAAATAACAGATGTGAAGCTGAAGATCCAGCATATAAAAAAGTTAAAGATAATTACAGTGTTGCTAAAGATCCCAAGGCATCAGAAGTTTTTAAAAGTATTTTTACTACTCATAAATCGGCAGCAGAACAAGATAGAGCGCATTGGATTACATACAATCCATTTTACAATTAAAGAATAATTGTAATATAAAAAGTTTTAAAAATGTATGATTATATAGACAGGGAACATTATATGTATATGTTTAGAAATAATTATAATACATTGTAATGTTTTTATATCATTAAATAGTTTCCTGTATAAAAACAAATGGTTTTATTATTATTTTTGTTATTTCAATAATCTGTTTTATCAAATCGTAATATTTACAACTTAAAAATGCTATATTATCACTTATTAAAATTACTTATGTAGCAAAAAAAAAAAGATTACGTATACATATGATTATTGGATATCACAAGGTAATAATTGTTGATATATTTTTTGCACATATGCTTGTTCACTACAAATAAATGTACTATGAATTAAAAGAATAAAATATAAAAAATAAGTATATAAAATTTATTAACACTTAATTTAAGATTTTATCCTTACGACTTTATAGCTTCAGTTTATATTTACTTTATTTCATTCACTTTATTAACACATTGTGATATTCGAGTTAGTAATAACGAGTTAGTATGTTAACTTATTTTAGATAATTAAGTGAAGGAATAAATGCATTCTTGATGCATACTGACAGAAATTTGCGCCGTTTAAAATCAATTAACAATACACAAAATTTATCAAAATAATTTATATAATTTCCAGATTTATATTGTTTACTATGTATTCAAAGGCACATAATATAGTTTGTTTTATATTTAACCGTTTACCACCTGATAATTTAATATTATCTTGAATTAGTTAAAGGTTTATCAAATATACAATCACATTTGAGGCACTCTGCGTAGAGAAATTGTTTGAATAACTCTGCGTAATCTACCGACTGTTCGTTTTCTCCGAGAATGCCTTTTTGATATTAAGCAATTCCATCGATTTAATAAACAGAGAAAGATACTTCCTATGATAATTATTCCTGCCATATAGCTCCACTTACTTGTTAATATTTCACTGTTATCTTGATTATTTTCTTTCAAATCATCGATGACAATATTTCGTTCTGGATAGTGCAATGTAGGAATGTTTGCACCCCCAACTCTTCTTCTAAGCCATAAAGGGCTTGCATCTTGCAAAACCGGATTTACTACAGCTACCGTATCTCCGATAGACAGTAACTTTTGAGGTTTATAAAGATTTCTAAAATAGGATTAAATTTGTAAATCATGTTAATATTGTTAACTTATTAATTAGATAAAAATTTAACAAAATGTCTAGTTACATACATGGGGACAGATTCGTTTAAAGGTTTTGGAGTAGCAAGAGTAATAGTGGGACAAGGTGGTAGCGGCCGAATACGTCCAACGTTAATGTTTTCTGGTAATAATACTTTACTATGACGTCTTAAATGACTTCCTTCCATACGTTGTGGCAATTTATTGGTGTCTAAAATACTAGATTTTTCAAGAATTTTTGCCTTGGTTTGACTTTCGTCTGTAAACACGGTTGCGATATGTCCTGCTGTTGTGTATTCCAATATAGCATCGAGCATCCAAAAGCAAGCTAAAGATACATAATAAAATTAGTACACATATTTGAAGAAAAAAAATAATATAATGATGATTGAACTAAAGATTGTTTTCAGGAACATACGTTTTTGTAAATGACTGTCATCAATGCAATTCGAATCTCCATATACTACAATTCTACCGGGTATAATATTTGCTTGATCTTTCATAATAGTTTTTTCTGAATTTTCGTTCGTTGGTACTTCATTATTGCTGAGATTTTCATTATGCATTTCTTTAATACTTTTATAATCATTTGTCTGAAAAAGTCCAAGAATTGGCACGGACATTGTTGACTTTGAGTCTGATTCTAATAAGAGTTCTTGCCCCTGATCACGTAGTTCCGCATAAAGGATAACTCCATCCTTTGGAAATCTTGATTAATGAAAAAATATATACATATATTTTTTTTTCTTTTCTTAGTAACTTATTTACTAATTCTGTGAATTCAACGTAGTTCAGTTGTAAGCAATACAATAACTAAATTTTTTGGTCCTCCTACCGAGTAATTGTAGTACCGGAAGCAAAAGTTACAGGGGGATGTTGACCAAGGGTAAATTGACCATTGCGTACTTGATCCCCAAATGCTATTCCCCAATTAGAATATAGTAAATCATTCAGAGCCGGTATATTTGCACCTCCGGTATCTGGTATCCACCACTGTCTAGTATTTTCATCATAAAATTTCACTTTTCTCATAACAGTGACATTATACCAATCTGCAAATACAACTACAGAAAGACCCTCCTCTTCTACATCTTTTTTTAATTTAGTCACCTGGAATAGATTCATCATTGTTTTTAAAAGATTACCGTCGACAATTGCATAATATATGTAACATTACCTCTTCAGGAAAAAATTCTTCTTCGCTATCTACAATAAGTAAAGTACCATAGTTCTTCGCATTAAAACAAGTAAATGGAGCACCAAGTACTTCTAAATAATAACCAGCATTACGTAAATGCTGATACATATCCTTAAAATTGGTGTGAATATGATCTCCATTCCAATCAAGAGGATCATTTTTTGCACGTAAATCATCTCGTGGGAAATATCCAGGAGGATAACGTAGATTATGATATTGATCCCATAAAACACGTTTACTATCAGTAAACAAACGTGTAATTTCATTAAATAAAGTGTATGTTACATAATAGTATATTATATAATATTATACAGAAAATTTGAGTACTCACTGTCGTGGAGGTGTAGGAATAACTTTTGCTTTTAAAGGCAATTCTATTTTAGACTGTCTAGACTTTTCTTCTCCATTACTTGATGGTGATTCAATTGTAATAGATATGTGACCTATATACCAAAATAACTATTGTATTTTTTTCCCTATGTAAAAAGAAAAATATAAAAAATACGTATCATAAAATAGATATAACCTTGTGCTATGCCTTGCCAGTCACGAGCAGATGATGGAACTGTTATAGCAACTGCTAACCATCCAGACCACGGCCAAAGAACATCGCTATAAGTTACTGATACATCAATTCGTTCACCGTTGCCATTACCAGTATAAGGATGCCATACGAATTCTGCTACATGGCCAGATACTCCCAAACCATTTATTATAGTTATATTTACAATTGTAGGCATACCAGAATGGTATACGGCTTGTGTACAGTATGGCCACATGTACTGACATTCGGTTAAATCTATATAACTGTTATTATTACAGATATTATTAAAGCGTATGGTATATTATGAATGAATTATATAATATAATCAAAAACGACAATTACCTCGGACTAAGAGTAGCGACTGGTGTATATGAACGGAGAAAGTGAAATGCACGTAAAAGATCTAATTTTCCAGCACCTTGTTCAAACATTCCAACTCCGGGTAAACGACGCGCAGAACCAAGTAATGCCTGTTTCATACTTGCTGGAGTTACCTGAAAATACAAATAACTTTTATATAAAATTTTGATTTTACAATATAATGATGATATAAATTTTGAACATAATTACTCTTTGTTTTACTGATTGAGATCCATCTGGTTGTACAAACCCGCTGGCTAAAAGTGCTACAGCACCAGCAACCACGGGACTGGCAACAGAAGTTCCAGATAATGTTCTGCAACCTGTTTGTAATGCCGATCCTCGTACTCCTGATCCATATGTAACTAAATCAGGTTTTACTCTTCCATATCCAGACGGTAATTCCCATGTAGTCATACCACGTGACGAAAATCTTGCTATTTGATCTTCCCAATTAATTCCGCCTACTCCAATAACGTCCATTTGATCCGCAGGGTTATTTAACGTGCTATATTCATTAAAATTAAACTTATTTATATCATACAATTACAAAATTTAAAAACAGAATAATGATTTTTAGTTTTTTACCCATACAGAGGTCCATCGTTACCAATCGCGGAGACCATAATCACACCATTTGCTGTTAATTCCCATACTTTATCAACAAATGGATGATCCATAAAATCTGGTCCTCCAATACTAAGATTCAATACTGTAACTTTTGTTAGAATGGCATAGTTGAATGCATCCAAAAACCACGAGGTATAAGATACCTGTTAAAAAACACATTTTTTAATATTTTGAAAACTGAAAATGTACATATCAGAAAACAATAAGAAAGCTACCTGAGTGTTTGTAAAGACACGAAAAATATGAAGTTCGGCATCTGGTGCAAAACCAAGACAGTCTATACAAGAGGATGCAATAACTCCGGCTACGAATGTTCCATGACCTAAGCCATCTTCCAATGTTTTTTCATTTGTCCAGTTTGAACGTTCTTTAATTTTTTTAAAATGTGGATGAGTAGCTGCTAGTCCTGTATCAAATATTGCTACCTAATGGTGTTCATCATTTGTGTTACATACAGTTTTACTTTCTTAAATTTTATGAAAATTTATCTCAAGCTATAATACTATATACCTTAACACCATTTCCAGTAACACCCATTCCCCATAAAGCATCGGCTTGAAGAATGCTTGTAATCTGCCTTGGTATAGCTCTTAGTAATCTACGTGATGTATGTCTATTGGTTGATTGCCAAAACTGATTGTTCTAAAATTCATTACATTTCAAGACATCTATTGTTACTATATTCTTAATTATACAAACTGTTATAAATTTAATTTTGTATGCGCAAAACTCACATAATTGTTAATTTTTCTTTTAAAATTTTTATATTCTGGAAAATCAGCATCTTCTGATACATTGACAAATTTCAAACTTCTCTGTACAAGTCTTTGAGAAGTTACCCTCCTAATAAGAGGATGATCTGTTAAGGCATCAAGACCACTATGTTTGTCTGTTTCTTCCAAGAGAACAACATCAAAATCACTGGGAAAATTGCTAGCCAAATTGTCACGAAATATAATCTTCCAATTATGAATACCAGATGAATTCAATGCAGCCTTTATATAATTCTCGCGTGTATGCGGTTTGTAATATCCTTTGAATGCAACAATATATTCATTTTCAATGATTCTGCTAGCAAAGTGAACCTTTACCTGTTCAGGGCTATTGCCACAACATGGTAATTTGGCATTGTTATGTAATTGTGGATTTGAATCTTTGCTTTCAACTAAACAATTTACTTGATTGTGAGACAGTTTGATGATAATATCAAGTACTAATAATAAAGTTATATATAGCCAACATTTATGTGGCTTCATACTATCATCTGCTGAAAATAAAGCAAAATTTATTTGAAAGGCAAAAGAAAATATGTTAAATTTCATTAAAACTTGTTATAAAAAGTATATTAATTAATATCCCTTCTAACTGTAAAAATAAATTATGTATTATCTATTATACTTACAAATTACTTACAATGTTCAAAGTACTCAATTATTAATTTAGTTAATATAAAATTAATTCTGTTTATTATAATTTGTGCATATTGTGGTGTATAAAACTTACATGTAGTAGAAAGACATAATTTATGAAACAGTATTTTTCCAAATCATTCTGTATTTTAATATTTTGAATAATAAGAAGGTAATATGTAATCTGTTTATTAAGTTAGTGTTTAAGAAATCTAAAAACGATGTAAAGACGTTTTTTTGTTGCTAAAATCTTATTTTGATGTCATAACCTCAATGTTCTTAAAATAAAAGCCCACTTCAATTGAAAGATTAAAGTATTCGAAACATACATTTTCATTGCATATTCTTGTGCTCCTTATTTTCCTGAAATATAATTGATACACTTTACTGTATATAAACTATACCAATGAATAACGAACAAGTAAGACATAATGCAGTTTATTATCGCACTGTTTACAGAACTTCGCATAAGCGATATCAGACGTTTAAGTGTACTCTATTGTCATCGACATAAAAATTAAAATACATTCATTATGTACTATATTTAATGAAAATTTACTTCAAGGAGTTATATTTACTGAAACAATTAAAGAATTTTTATCGAATTTTAACTGTGAGTAAGATATACAACTTATAGCTTAACCTTTAATATGAATTTGTTTGTTATAAACTTCATTAACAGCTAATTGTTATATATATGAATATATTGTATATAAATATTTACATCTTTAATAAGTGATTTTTACTTTTATTCCTCATACATATGTGTATTATTACTTGTCCGATGTTTTCTACAGAATAGAAAAATAAACTGTCTAATAAATTATTTATTTTATTATTATTATATGACAATAATGGTCTATTATTAGTTTTGTTTAACTATTTTAAATATATTTTTCAACAAATACTTTTAGTGTTCTGTGGTGTGTGCAAAAAGTAAATAGTTTGATAATGGCATTTAGTGTGTACAATGACACGAATGAACTTAATTCTCAACTCTCAACTGAAGAAAATAATATGACAGTTGATGAAAACACTACTATAGCACCAGTAATTATAGAAGAACTGGATGAAAATGCTTTAAATAATATGAATGTGGATATGACAGAATTTGTTGAAACAAAAGCTTTAAAGATTCAAGATATACCTCAGAATGTTATATCAGATGTTTCTGAACAAAGTAGTTCTGCTATGGATATTACTACAGATTTAGAAGATCAGGATATGTTATTAACAGCAGATGAAGAAGAGCAATTAACAAAACAGTTTCTAAATGGAGAATTAACATTCTCTGAGTATTCTTCAAGAATGGATCAAAGTGTAGGCTTAGAAACTATAGAAGTTGATTCTCATAGGTAGTCTCATAAAGAGTCTCATTTGTAATTCGCATATCAAACATATAGTTATAAAATTCTTTGTTTATAGAAGTAACTACGAAAATGAAGAAATAGAAACAAGTAAAACTGTTCATCAGAAAGCATTAAAATCACAAACTGGAGCACAAGTACGTTATAAAAGGAAAAAAAGAACGTTACCTCCAGTTCTGCAAGGCCTTATGGGTGAAGCAAATTTAAGATTTGCAAGGGGAGACACAGAACTAGCTGCTCAAATATGTATGGAAATAATTAGGCAAGTCTATTTCCCAAGATGATCAGTACATGATATTTTAGGAGAATGAAATGAAATGAAATAATATAAATATTATGACTTTCTTTAGACAAGTGCCAAGTGCTCCAGAACCATTTCATACACTGGCAATGATATATGAAACAGATCAACCAGAGAAATCATTGCAGTGTGCCTTGATAGCAGCACACCTTAGTCCAAAAGATGCTGATCAATGGGTAAGATTAGCTAATATGTCACTGGAAAGTGGAGATATAAAACAAGCTATAACATGCTATAATAAAGCAATTCAAGCAAGTCCTAAAGATGTACGTTTATATGAAACACGAGCTGAACTTTTAGAAAAATATGGGGATAAGAGAGCTTATTTAAAAGGATTCTTGAAATTGGTTCATCAGTTGGAACCTGAGAATGGTGAACATATAATTAAATATGCTAAAATGTTAGCTAAACGACACATGGAAGAAAACAACAATGAACAAGCATTAGAAGCAATGGAGAATATTTTTTTTAAATGTCCCTCTTTTATTACTTTAGAAGAAGTTAATATTATGACTGAGATATTAATAGCTCTAAAGAAGTTTAAAAGATGTTTAAATATTTTGACCACATATACAAGTATTTGGGTTAAAAAGAAAGATGGAAATGAGAATAATGAAGAATCTGAAGATCAGGATATATGTGAAATAGAAGCTTGCGGAGTACCGGACGATGTTGTCGTCGACTTAAAAGCAAAATTTTTAATAACACTTATTGAATTGGATCAGATGAAACTAGCTGTAACACTATTACCTAAGTTTTATCTATACGAAAATCCAGAAGTTTCTGGAGATCTGTTTTTAGACATAGCAGAAGCTTTAATGGGAAAAAAGGAATTCGAACGTGCCTTAATGTTATTAGATCCTTTAGTGAATAGTACCAATTATAGTTTAGCTGCAGTGTGGTTACGGCACGCCGAATGTTGGGTTGGCTGTAAAGACTTAAAAAAAGCAATAAAGTCTTATGAAAATGTCAGAAAACTATCACCCCAGCATTTAGGTGCAAGAATAGCGCTAGCTAAACTATATCAATTGAAGGGTCAGTATAACAAAGCAATAGAAATTCTTCATCAGGATCCTGAATCAGACACTTTAGATCTAGAAGTCACTTATCAAAGAACATTGCTGCTTTTCAAAGTAAAAAGATACAATGAGTATTTTCAGTCTGGTATGTTACTTTTCTCCAGACATTGTGCACATATAAGAAACAAAGTTGAAGTGAGTGCATTAAGTAGAGCGTGTGTATTGCGACAACGTTTAGAAACTTTACAGCTGCATCGATTTTCGCGCGGAGAAAAGTTTGAAGAAGAAAACGCACCAATCTTTTCAAATAATTCAGAACTGAGCGAGAAAAAAGAATTCTTCTTGCTTCTACAAATGTGTAAATTAGCTTGTAGATTAAAGAAGTATGGCTTATTGCAACGGATCTGTTTTAGCGCTTTAACATCAAAAAGATTTGAGAAAAGGAATTTTCATATTATGTTTTTATGTTTACTATCTTGTATTTACAATAATGATTCCTATCATGGGTATAACATCGTGCGATCGTTGATACGGGCTTGCGAAAAGCCAAGTTCTTGGAATTTGCTAAATATCATTGTTCAGAAAGCAGAAGATTCAAGACACAACAGATTTATAATGCGTCTTCTTGGAAGAGAAGATATATTTTCTTATCTGAATATAATGCATGCAAATAATTGCCTTATTTCTGGAACATATAAATATGCACTCAATGATTATATTTCTCTCTTCAAAGTAATGCCCAGTGCTCTATTGGCATTACTTATTGGTGTAACTTTATTACAAATGTCATGTCAAAAATTTTCATCTAAGAAGAATCAACTTGTAATTCAGGGTAATTATAATTATGTCTATATATATATATATATATTAGAAAACATAAAATTATGATTTACTTAATGATTTTATGTCATAAATAAAATATAAATTTCTCCTTTTGTGTTTTAGCTATTGCCTTTCTGAAGAAATATTCTCAGTTACGGGGCAAAAATGGGGAACAAGAAACATACTACAATATGGGACGCGTATTTCATCAAATTGGTTTATTACCCGCAGCCGTACACTTTTATAAATTAGTGCTCACCAAGGATCCTGGAGATTTAATTGAAAAAAACTCGCATCTCTTGGACTTAAAAAAAGAAGCTGCTTTTAATTTACATCTTATTTATTTACAATCTGAAAATTATTTATTAGCAAGAATGTATCTTGAAAATTACATTACAGTTTAGTTTAGGAGTATCGATTTATAAAACTAATTTATAATTTATTGTCTGTAAAACAAGAATTTTGTATGAAAATTATAAAAAGCGTGAATGTAATTTAAATTATAGTATTGTAAATAAACATGTAAACATTACAAATATATTGTAAAAATTCAAATATTTTTCTAAATGAACCACATCTTTTTAATTGCAAAAATGTTATTGAATGATTAATCAATATTATCTTTTATAGAAAAACGAAATGTCATTAGCTTCTAAAATTGAATTTAAGAAACTGTGCAATGTCTTTAAAGAAACTGAAAAAGCATCCAGCGCTAAGAAGGTTGAGGTGTTAGAGAAATTTATCCAACAATGTCGTATTATCAGCCTCAAATTAAAAGCGGAATTTCCAGATATGGTACAATTTTTATATTTTCTAATCGAATTTCAGCAACAATAAGTAACAAGTTTATTATGAAACTTAATTAAACTTGTATGATTAGGATGTTTCACTCTATCCTGTAATGAGATTAATCTTGCCTCATCTTGAACGTGAACGAGGACCACACAATTTAAAGGAAAAATCACTTGCCGGTCTTTACATTCGCGTGTTTTGTTTGGGTAAAAATAGCAAGCATGCAAAGAAACTTCTGCAATACAAGTAAGATGATTAATTGGTGTCTGTTTTATTTAATATTATTTGTATTACTATTGTATAAAATAAAAATAAATTTGTTTTAGAGCACCAACAAGGAAGAAGATTGCTGGATGTGATTTTGCAGGAAAAGCTTATTATATTTTACAAAATCATTTACTACGTAACAGTTCCAATTTCACAATAGAATATATTAATGAATTTCTTGATAATATATCAGGTGAAAGTATTCAACATAAGGATGAAATATTTAAGATGTTATTGGCAAAAATAAACCCATTAGAATTTAAATGGATAACACGAATTATTCTAAAAGATTTAAAACTTGGTATTGGGACAAAGAGAATATTACAAGGTTTATTTCTATACAAAAATTTTACATAGAATTGTTTAATTGGATATGTTTAAGAATATTATACTTTTTAGTCTTTCATCCTGATGCAAATAGATCGTTTGAAGTATCATCTAATTTGCATCAAGTTTGCGATACATTATATGATCGTCAATTGAGATATCATCATAATATTAAAGTTTTCTTTCATTTCAAACCTATGCTGTTGGAAAGATGTCACATTGAAGATGTAGAGAAACTTTTTGATTCAAATAAGGAGTATTTTATACAAACTAAATATGATGGTGAACGATCTCAAATGCATATGAAAGATGGCAAATATAAATATTTTACAAGACAAGGATATGATATCACAGATAATCCTAGTTATGGGGAAACTAGTTCTTTAGGTATGCTCATACTTTAATTGCAAAAATATGTGTTTGAAACACTAAAACTTTGTTATTTTAGGTTTCATGAGTGGTGTATTTAGTCGACTATTAAATCCAAAATGCAAATCAATCATTCTTGATGGTGAATTGATGGGTTGGCATAAAGAAAGGAAATCGTTTGGTTCAAAAGGAATGAGTTTTGATGTTAAGAAGCTTTCAGAAAATAGTCATCATCAGCCATGTTTTGTTGCTTTTGATATTATCATGTATAATGATACTTTACTTAATAATGAACCTTATGCAAAAAGATTAGAGATTTTAAAAGATGCATTTAAAGAGGAAGAAGGATGTCTAATGTTGTGTAAATCTACTAAAATTTCTAACAGGTATAAAATCAATTATTACTGGCGACTATAAAACAGCATTTTACGTTCATAATTTACAATTCTTTTTCTTTGAAAGTGAGGAATTACGTAAAATATTTAATGAAAGTATTCAAAACAAAGAAGAAGGGATTGTATTAAAAGAATGTAACAGTAAATATAAACCAAATGTGCGCGATGGTAATGGTTGTTATAAAATAAAAGCTGAGGTAATTGTATTCTTTAAAGTATTGTTAAACATTGTTGACATATTCGTTCTGTTTTCATAAACAATATCATTTCAGTACTCCGATGATTTGGTGCAAGATGTAGATTTAATTATTCTTGGTGGTTATTATGGCGAAGGAAAATTTATAGGTTTAATGAAAAGCTTTTTAATGGGAGTAGCCTCACCACCAGAAATTTCTGGTGAGAATCCTACGGAATTTTTTTCCGTTGTATCTGTTAGCAACGGTTTTTCTCTAGAAACATTGAAAGAACTTTGGAAAATGTTTGAAGGAAAATGGCACACAGAACGTCCACAAAATGTGGTGCCTCCTAGGGTAAGCCTTAATTGAAATAAATAATTAAGTATATAGTGTCTAATATTAAAATTTTCTAGCTTCAGCCGCCAGATAAATGGATTCGGCCTGTTGATTCCATTATTGTGACAATACGAGCTACAGAGATGACGCAAAGTAATGATTATCCAACAGGATATAGTTTACGATTTCCTAGAGTTATGAAAGTTAGAACTGATAAACCATGGTACAGTGTTTGTACTACGGACGAACTTTTATCTTTAATTAAGGTATATATGATTTGATAAATAAATTTCATTTGATTATGGTATATTTCATCACTGTTTAGGATACACGACCAATTCAGAAATTAACAAAACGAGAAGTAAATTACGAGGACATAGAAGAATCCCCTAAACAAAAACTACGCAAAATAAAATATCGTTTACCAAAATTCGAAAGTAAAACAATGAAATTTAGCAATTATGACAATTGTCTTACTCGACTTTTTGATGATAAAGAAATTTATGTGATAAATGGAGATAATGAATTACCTAAGGAACGTATTGAAGAAATTCTTTTGCAGCATAAAGCAAAGGTTGTGCAAAGCCCGTCGAAAAATAACTATTGTATTATTGTTGACAATCCTAGAACGGTGAATACATTAAAAGTTATATTAAATGTTTTTCTTTGATTGTGTCACAAATAATATGTAACGTATGTTTTTAGTCCAGAGCAAACAATATCATAAAGAGTAAAAGGTATGATGTAGTGACATTAGATTGGTTCAGACGAGTTACTAAAGAAGAAAATTGGCCATCGTTACAAGACTTTTTACCATGGGACTTAATATCCTGTCGTGAATCGACAAAGCAACGATTAGCACAATATTATGATGATTATTACGATAGCTTTACTGTAAATGCGAACAAAGAGAGTTTGTTACGTTCGTTTAAAAGGATTGAAGCAATGGTATCATATCGAAATGATATTTTATCCTATTATTATATAAGGTATATGATATAATAACTTTATATGAAATTGTTTTAGAAGATAGCCCATGAACTTGATTGCGCGCAAATGAAAGAAATAGATGAAGAATTATTTGAGGATGGCATATCACCATATTCCAATTTTCGAGGCATAGTAGGCTACTTTGATGATGATCCGTCAAATGGATCAAAGTTTGAGTTTCATTTTATGGGTGGAACGATTAAAGAAACCCTGGACGATTCCGTTACACACGTATTTATTAGTAAAGATTTCATAAATCCTGAACTTGAAAACTTGATCGAAGATAAGTCACGGGAATCATTAACAGTTGTTAAGAGCGAATGGATTGGAAAATGTTTCCAACAAGGAGCAATTATTGCTAATACGTCGTATTTAATTTAGAAATGAAATTGTCAATAGATTTTCATTGATAAGTACAATATTAATTTGTATATACATCTTTATGTATTTATATACATATAAATCTATACGAATGGGAAGGAAGTTTATTCTAAAATAAATTTATAAATTTAAGCGCCGTGGTTGGTCTTTTATTGTTGAAATACAATTTTGGAATCGAGTCATTAACAAAAGAAAATTTGACGTATAGGCGTTACGAGTATATTTGTAACATGAATACCGAAAATATATAGATTCATTTTGGCTCATATTTTCGTTAAGTGCTAAAGAAACTGGGTACTAGACGGAGTGACAGTTGGACAGTTCTCTCATTTAACATCCCGTTTCGAAATATTTCTTCTCGGTTCAAGTCGGCACCCCTTACTGTTCTCGTTTTATTTCATCGGAATGCGTGCAAAATACAAGGCAACGAAAGGGACGCAGCTGCGACGTTTCCTTTACAAAGCCCGCCATTCAGAGAGATTCTCGACAAGATTAAGACGAGAGAAGCTTGCGAAAAAATGGAGTTTGCAAACACCGAACATTAATACGTCGATCAATTGCAGCTTTTTATTTCTTGGTTGATTAAAACGCGAAGATGATGAATCGTCTTTTTCGAGTTACGTTTAAAATCTAAAATTAATATTCTGGATGTAAGAAAAGTTAGCAAACGTTTTATTTGTTAAAACAAAGAACCAACATCTATATATCAAACGAGAAACATCTATAAAAATGTCTAATGAAAAACCTACAAGCGTTATACAACGAATTAAACATATTTTTCTTCGTCGACTAAATTGTAGCTGAAATTTTTGGCAAAGATGTATATCGTTGCATTGCATGATGCATGTATAGTAATAACCATTGTGGATATCTCGTTAGCGTTAAAGGAAGCTTTCGTCTACCAGGTCAGAACATATAATATATGAATATGAGTGACGTTCGTGTCCGTAGAAGATCTACTTATAGACTCTTCACCTACAGACACGACGCGTATTAATCGAGTTTCAGATTTTCCAAGCGTCCAACGAGACACGTCACTCCTTTGCACCACGTCCAATTTATTCATGGAGTTTCAGTGCTAACTCGGTACCTGCCAATTATGTGTACTCGTTACTGTTATTGCTTACGCTTTTCTCATTGTCGCACAATTTAATTACAAGCGTCCACGCTTGGATTCTCTATGCATTATCTTACTGTATAAAAGAATCATTTAAACGATCGTTGTTACAATATTCTTCCATGCTCCAATTTATCGTTTTCTTTATAAAGCGCATAAAGCGAGATTATTTTCTTCTACACTGTTTATATTATTCTTACTACTTATCTAATACGTATTCTTAAGGTTCCAAGCAACGTGAGGTTTATCCGTGTATATTATTCTCCCCTCCTGTTCACAACATCTTGGCCGTCGCCACGATTTTTGTGTTTCCTTCAATTCCTTCACTTCATCAGTTAATCTCTTCATCACTCTGTTGCAAGTGGTCTGATTAATATTACTCCTTTCTAAGTTATAGTTATCTCTGTACGTTGACAGAGATGTCAAGGAACACGAGGATGAAGGTGAAGAATAGCAGATTTTTGTTCTTTTCTCGATCCTTGGGTATCTTCTTTCCCATCGTGGTATACGTGTACAGGAGGAGGAGAAGGAAGAAACTGATCGTTGCTCGTTGTAAACGGAATTTTGTGACATTATCGCCGAAGAATGACATCGTTTGGACGAAGATAAACACGACGACGAGGATACTAGTTCACTGGGATTGATTCTTGTGTTGTACTTACTATATTTCTGTGGACTGGTTGAAGACACATAACGAGATGATTTGTAATGGGGATACCAACAGACAACTGGATCGTCTTGAAGAGAATTTACAGTAATGTCTGTAAGAATCGTCGACGAACTGTACGACGACGAATATGTGGAGTTATCGAATTTCGTTTCTTCAAGAATTTTTGACCTGTTGGATTTATTATTCTTGAAAATGATTAATGTAGGCTTTTCTTTGTAGCGCAGTGATTGTGCTGTATACTTGGACGGACGAGTTTTAGTGACCGAATGATTATTATTCTTCTTCTTCTTCGTGTTTACATGTTCACACGGACAGTTATTCTTTCGCAAATTTGTAAACACTTTACAACGATGATAAGGGCGTAGTTTTGAGTATGATGACTCTCGAGAACTGTTATAATTTGCGGTGCAAAAGCAATTTTGAGAAAAATGTTTTGACAGGTTTTTTTTCTGTAACGTGTCATCGTTTTGTCGATCAGTAATGGAACATGTATCTTTCCAATGAAATCTATGCTTATTTACAAACCGTTTTGATTTGCATTTTTGTTTCTGCCTCGAAAAAAACGATGATACATTATCAAACAAGTCTTCAGTCTTTTCGTCGATATTTTTTCTATTTTCTACGCATTTTTTACGTAATTCGCGATATAAAATGGAATCCATGCCATTATCCGTGATCATTGATTCACTGATACTCGTGTCGCTTTCCGATTCCTTAAACAAGGTCTTTCTCGAAGAATATTTATCTGCATCAATTTTCTCGGTTCTACATACAGTATCGTTCGCGTGCACTTCAGGAGTACCTTTACTGAAGCATTTCGGCCAATGTTTCTTCCTACTAATGTTGGCTACTTCTGCAGAAATATTCTGTTTATTAACACACTGACAAAAAGTTTGATTCAGTTCAACATTGTGTTCAATTTCAGACAGTTTAGAAGAATTGTAATCAATGCTAGCTTTTTCTTTGCAAACGCATAAAGATTCAAGCAACGTTTTTGATTCTGAATCTGTTTTATCTCTGCATAATTCTAAATCTTCTTTTCCAACATCCTTTTGTTTCTCTTCATTTTCAAAAGAATTCATATTACTAACACCTTTGTTTGCAATTTCTTTCTCAGATTTCTGTAACACCTTTATATTCTTATCTTCTGCATCTACACGTTTTTCGTGCATTTTTGCATCGTTAACATTGCTCGTACCTGGTTCCAGTTTATCGCATGTCTTCCAGTAATCTACAACCATGTCTTGGGAGACACGTATACGAACGCAGGGATGCTTTCTTCTTCTTCTTTTCATGAATTTCTGAGGATATACGGTTCCGCTACAGTGACGAAACAAACAATTTCTACGCAATCGTTTTTTTCGTACGCTTGTGGACGAGTCTGCAAGCTGAATTCGATGAGGTTGTTAACATCGTGATTAATGAAACAGACTGAAAGGTAGCTTTTTCCTTTAATTTACCTTTGTTCTCTGATCGTGCAACGTTGAGCAGCACATGCAATTTATCAATAATATATCTGCAATCGAAGCAACCACAGAATCATTGAACTTGCTTTACAGCTGAATTGATTCATTATGGTAAGACTTACAGCGATTCGCTGGAGAAGTCGAAATTACCATTGTCATTTTTAGGAAGACCTCTGCTTAATGCAAGTGCAGTCTTCGATATCATCACTGGATCGTTTTCGAGGAACCATTCCCTTATCCTCGAGTACCCTAAACATTTATTTATTTATTTATTTATTTATTTATTTATTTATTTATTTATTTATTTATTTATTTATTTATTAGCATCAGTAAGAAACACAATAAACGATTAATCATAATTCTCACATGTCCAAACGTTTTTTACACCCGCAAGCATAGACTTTGTCTCGTGCTCTGTAAATAATAATCAATAAAATTGTTATTTAATTTACTTGTGATAAGTATTGAAACCCTTTGAACAACTTAAAGAGTTTCATAGTATTGTTATTGTTTCTTAAATAACTTACCCTTCTTTGCATTCACATCTGCATGGTCGTCTATGGGACAGGAATTAGTACTAAGTATTAGAACTTATGATTATGCCATGAACATGATATTGCTGGTCATACGATACGTGATATTCTTTAGGAGTTCTAAGAGATAAGACAAATGGTTCCTTAGAGAAATCTCGCACGTATGACCAACGTGACTCACTTTTCTCCTTTACGACGCACGAACTCTCTCATTCTTGCTTTACACAAACATTTATATTCCCTGGAACAAATACATTTTTTTATTAAGAACTTCCCTTCTTATTTGTCCATCAAGTTGATACTTACCTCTCTTTCAAGAAACCAAAATAGAAGAAAAGCATCCCTGTGAATCCTGCGATGAACTTTCCCAAGTACCAGGCAAAATTGGTGGTGCAGTGGGGCATCGCAACCAGTAAATTAGTTTTGTTAGATGAATGAAACAGTATCACCTACGATCTGACAGTACTTTCTTCCTATGAAAAATTGCACGTACATATTTTTACAAGGGCTCGTACAAACTCGAATTTCCTCAAGGCTTTTCGCTATTTCTTCGTTCGTCGTTTTAATTAACATTTATCCTTTGAATTTTGAATTACATAACACGTTTACAACTTTCTACGGGCTACGGTTAGTTGTTCTCCGGTGACGCGCATTTGAAAGACGCGCGAGCCCGTAAGAACGTTCACCGTGGATGTTTTCTCGCAATAGTGACCACGGATTTGGATAAAAACGTATCGCGTGAACAAATGCAAAGTGCGTTGATTTGCAAATGTCAAAATTGGTCAAAATCATCGATACGCTGAGAACATCGCCTACTCGATCTAATTTACTTTTTAATTTAGAAACAGAACGCTTGTCTTTTTTGATCGTCGCATATTCTATTCAGGTTCTTTCAAGTTCCCTTCCCTGTTATTAATAATTCTCTTGTTAAAATTCTTCGTCCTAAACAGAGTAAGTTTTTGCAGCAGAAGTGAGTCCAATCTTAGCTATGGATATTCTGAGGTGCAACATCGCTTCAGTCACGCATCTTCAACGGGGGATCCTCCGTTAGCAGCAGCGGAAAGATGTTGAATGACCTGTCAACATATTTGCCGTACTGACAACACCCCCAGGAGCAAAGCTGTCCATGTCGATGGGAAGAGGAAAGAGCGTCTAAAATGACACCCCTTCGTTCCACGCTCATTAGGGCAAATTCCTCGGTGCGTTTCACGCGTGCCTACTGGTGGATGTAAATTTAAACTTGTCCGATCGTTTCATTCTTTTCATCGTCTTGAAAAAGATCATTCATAAGAGTTTATCTTTAGTCGAAAGAAGAAGTCTCTGTTTTATTATTATTATTATTATTATTATTATTATTATTATTATTGACACTTTTGATGCAGCTGTGGCTCATCCATGGTTTATAGTGTTTGTCAGAGGCGTAACTTTAATTAATCATTACAATATTATTGCAGCAGAGTATAAATGTATTTTATCCACAGCTGCTCGAGTAAAGTTTCGTGCGAAACGAATACGCTTCCGGCCCATCCGACTAACATCACGAGGTGTCCAAGAAGCCGGGCTCACTTTTGGTTACAACTAAAAATAATACGATATTGCCGAAGTATCGAAAAGCGGAGAATAGTGCAATATCATCTCCCTTTTTCCTTCTATTGCGTACTGCGAAAATAGAAGAGAGGAGAGAATCTCGTTCGACTAACAACGGTATACACCGCCAGCTGCGGCCACATGGCATTCTTTCTGTGATCTTACTCTAAGAGCTCGTTAATACGATCCTCTCGGATGTTGCCAACGCTCAGTTAATATTAGTTTCGAGTATGTTTTCTCAACGTATGAGTGTTCTTTCAAACGGGTAGGTTTTAAATGCTAGACACACCAAATATTATGTTCTTCCCTTGTTTTGGATAAAAATCTATATACTCTTCAACAGGGAGGAAACATCACGTCGATTCACGTTTCAAAGAAGAGTGAAAGATAACTGGAACATCTTTGCGTACCATTTCCTTTTTCCGAAAAAAAAGTTAACTGTATTATAGAGGTATTATGAGTACATATCTCAATTAATAAAGGAAACAATGATCTTTTATTGATCTTAAAAAGTGACTTCTTAATTTTGCTTGGCAATAAATTGCTATAATTTGCTCGTAAGGAATCATGCTCGATAAATCTTCCAACTTCATGTAAAATGACCCTCTGTGTCTGTTTGGCCGGGTAAGACTGATACGCGGGGGCTGTAATTAAACAAATCGTTCCCGTTTAACGAAGATCCTCCGCTTTTTCTCGAGATGATACAAGTTGACGGTAATAAGAGCAGCAAGATGGAAGCTGGCCTCGATTGGCTCTTGGTCCAGGACGGTGGCGGAGTTTCTTCGCGTTTCGAGCCAATCCAAACGTGTTTCTTCTCTCTAAAAATACATTTTGAATCGGTAGGAGGAGACGGAGATACACCTCCTTTAACGAAAGGAAAAGATTCCTCTGTGTATATAACTCATTCAACGGTGAACACCGACTGTTTCGTGCCGTACCCTTACAGGAAACTGGAAAGGAGGGAACGATTAGATGAGTGTTCCGCGAGTTATTCGGTCTATGTATCGAAATGTTTCGTCAACATTACCATAATAGTTAATTAGTGAAACTGTAAACGAGATACCGCTGATCGAAAGAAAGATAAAATGAAGACCGAAAACGGCAGCTCGAGCCAAGTGAATTCTGGAATCGAGCAACGTCTGCGGAGTCCAAAGTGTGCGAGATGCAGGAACCACGGTGTGATTTCCGGTTTGAAAGGTCACAAGAGGTCCTGTGCATGGAAGGACTGCCGTTGTCCTTGTTGTTTGTTAGTGGTTGAAAGACAACGGGTGATGGCAGCTCAAGTTGCCTTAAGAAGGCAACAACAAGCTCATAGTAATTATTTCGGTGATAATGTCTCGACGGTTTGTCACACACCTATGGATGCAGCCAATTCATCGTATTTGATTAAAAACGATCAACCTGTGTGCAGAAGAACGAAGAACTTCCAGCGTCATCAGTTACACTTCACTCAAACCAGCATCAGCGTGACCCAAGGATTTTATGGATTAAAGACCATACATGGTTTACCTGCAGCATGTTAGTAGTCGATGTTAATTAAATTATAAATAAATTACTTAACATTTTGATGGTCACATATTTTCAAATTGAAATTAAAAGGTTCGCCTGTACCTTAGGTATTTTTTTAACTACAAAGAAACGAAGAGAAAGAAGTACCCTTGTTTTGTCCATGTCCTTTATGTGTGAAGACAGCAGGTTTTAGTTCAGGCTCGCCTTAGATTCTCCCGAAACTGAAGACAAGGGGTGGAAGACTCCTCCTACATTTTACCCTTAACTAAAAGAAATCTATGTTTCATCTAAGTGTACATAACATAATAGATAGAAATAAAGTACATTAAAAATTTATATACCAAACTTATGAATTTGGTATCTATTATAACACTATGCAAATCGAGAACCCACACTTTGAATTCTTCTTATTCGAATCTATGTATATTTCTTGGTACATTAGAAGCAGAAGAATTTGGTTTATAGGAAATCAGAAAAAAGTAACGTCCATGTGGTGTCAGCTGTTGTTAATACGTATACAGTATTTCAGGGAATTGTATTTTAACATTTCTTCAGCAATCAACAAAGGATAAATTGATGTTTCCTTTCATTTCAGTTACCGCAGATCCTCCGTTACTGAATGGTTTGTCGCATAATCAAGAATATAATCAAGAGCCTGAAAGTTCAAAAAAACTGCAGTCTTTCCCTTCGATGTATTCCACGATACCGTGGTTCGAACACGTCGCTGAACCTCGTAAAATGAAAAAAAATTTCAACAATTTTGCTCCCACTGTGACGGAACATGATGATATTTCTGCATCCAAAAATGCATCTTGCATGGAAAAGAAATCGACGATTTCTTTTAGCGTGGAATCTATCATTGGAACGAAGTGATATGAAACGAATGATTTCTTTTTTTTTTTCTTTTTTACGTGATTGCATTTCATTATTATTGTAAATAGGATTAATTCTTATGGTTTGTTTAAACTTATAGAATAAAAGTATTAAGTATAAGACGCAAAAGAACCTTTCAACGGCATAAAATATTAAACAAACAACAGATGTATAGATCGTATTTTATAATTAAACATTAACAAAATACATATGAACGTATATGCGAATTCATTCAAACTAAATACTTATATATTATCAATTAGTGTATAAACTAATGTGAACTAATTATTTATCACCTTCAAGTGTTTTGCAACAACGTTTCATATACGTATCTATATCAGAAAAATCAGATAAAGTAGTGTGAATAATTTCATATAAAATACTTGGCCATATATTATCAAGTAACTGTAATTTTTGTATTGCATCCACAGTAAGATTTATTAAATTTAATAGATGTATTTTTCCTTTGTGCCTCCAAATAAGATCTTCCTGAAAGAGAAAGTAAAAGAAGAAATGTAACAGTTAAAGTTAAATATTATTTATTTTATTACCTGTGTTATATTTCCTTTTCTCCACTGTAATGCCTCTTTAGCAACAACACTTCTAAGGGCTGGATCGCTGTTAAGTAAAAACTGTTTGGCAGTAATTTGTTCTCCATTTTGCTTTTGAATTTTTTCTAAATGAAGTCTTTGTAATAAAGGTTGTAATAAAGATTCGGGCAGTGAACACATCACAATATCAACAAGACCAGCGTATTCTTTGTTTGCAAAATCAATCGCTTCATTTGTAATCTACATATAAAATTAATATGTTCATAAAAATGTTTTATTAATATAAGTTAACATGAGTTAACAGAATATTTACTTCTTTTCCATTAATAACTTTGAGTCCCCAGTGGGCCAAACGAAATATAGCATAAACTTTCCAATCTTTTGATATAATTGGATTTCCTGTTTCTAAATGAATACTTGTTAATCCTTGTGCTTCAGCTAAAGCATTAAGCTGTCCAAGGTATGTGATATTAGTTTCTTTAAACATAAAATGTTCTATGTTCGGAAATCTATTTTTTACTTTACACAAAACTTTGGCCACATCGTTAAATTGTACATAATTAAATTTAATAACATTAACATCTTCAGCTTTTGAAGGATCCCATGGTCGGTCAATAAAACGTAACGCACCTTGACCATAAATATTCAAACATCGACCAACTATTTCTATCAAATAATCTCCTCCTGTGAAAAATGTTCAATAAAAAAAGTATTACATTTGTATACTGGCTACAGTTAACAAATATGAAATTGATTGTAATGAAAGTATATAATAAATTATAACATATGGTGTATACCTTGTTCTCTTTCTTTTGATGGATTTTGTACAGGAGTTGGATTTGGTGGTGATATTGCTCTATATTTAGCTCTAGCAGTTGCTGCTCGATTACTTTTATAATATACTACTTTCTTTAATTGAGCACTCTTGACTCTATTCTTATCTTTCTCTAAAGTCTTAGACTTTTGCAATACAGTTTTAGCAACAGACAATGTACTAGAATCACTTAATATTGACTTACAACTATCCATACTATTAGTTTTAGAACTTAAAGAACAATATCCAGAGGAACCAATACTAGATTTTGATTGACAATCACTCATGATATGTTCATTGTGAAATCTTAAAACCTGTTTCTCGTTTATTGATAATTCAGAAGATTTAAAGAGTGTACAACTCTTACTTTCATTGACATCAGCAGCAGCTTCTGATGCAGATGACAAAACATTCATGAAATCAATCTTATTAGCAAGGAATTTATCACTATCATCTTGAGAAACATGATTGCTAGAGCTTTGTATATGAGGTTTTAAACAGCTCTTTAAATTTTCATGGCTTTCTATAATTTCTGAATCGCTGCTCGATCTGCTGTTAGTATCATTTCCAGTTCTTCCTTTTGTTAGACCTTCGTTACTTATAACTATTTTTTCATCGAATTTACTATTTAATAAGTTATCTACAATTGAACCTAAAATAGGTGGCAGTTTAAATTCTAACGGATACGCTTTAGTTGTATCTTTTAATCGAAATAAATTATTACTAGAATTACTTCTTTTTTTAATGTTTATTTTCGTTGCTTCTATATTTTCATTTATAGATGTCAAGCTCCCAAAATCTTTTGCTTTTACTTTTTCTAAGTTTTGAGGTCTTAATATATTAAATTTGTTAGATTTCTGAATTTGTAATACATTAACGTTATTGAATCGAACGTTGTTTTCATTGTTACTTTTATCTGTGGAGGATTTAGTATGACATCTAAGAAATTCCCAATTTATTTTAGCATTTGATATTATTTCTTCCCGCCGAATATTCATACAAACATGTGTGCTAAGATTTAAAAAAGTGGAATTACTTTGTTCTTTTGTTGTCCTCCAGGCTGTAGCAGCTCTTCGAATTTGTTCAGTAATTGGCATAGTAGATAAACGCTGTAAATGTGGTAAATATGATACAAGAAATGAAACATAGTCTCCAGTTAATGTTACAGGATTTCCATCAATTGCTATTTCTCTAAGTTGTAATGCTTTTGCAAGACTGCCTATATCTTCAATTCTAAAATATGAAGTATTAATAAGTGTACAGTTATCAATGAAAATTGTGTATTACAATTTTTAGAACATACAAATTATAATGAATTTGTAGTATTTATCATATACTCACTTATGAATATCATTATTACTTAAATATAATTTTTGCAGTTGTGGAGTTTCATTAAAACCTAATAATTTTTTTATCTTATTACGTCTCAGGTTTAACTCTTTTAGTGATATTAAACCTTGGAAGTCATTGTAGCCTATTACTTTGATATTATTTCCAGCTATATTCAAAACTTTTAGAGATACTAGATTATTTAAATCTGAAATTTGTACAATTTGATTGCCATGAAGATCTAGAACTTCTAACTTAGATAGGGACTTCAGACCTTCAATTTTTTTAATTCTGTTTTTTCCAATCAATAACACTCTTAAATTTTCTAATAATTCAAAATTACAAATCCTTTCAATTTGATTATCGTACAGGTCAAGAAATACTAATTTTGTCAATTGAGAGAAGTTGGAATTCTCAATCTTTGTTAGAAGATTATGTTGGAGAGATAGTAAACGTAAACGTGGCTCTCCAACTATATTTGGGAATGTAGTGAGACCTCGTCTATCAAGACATATCCTATCGGGGCTCTTTTCTTTCTCGGCAGCAATTCTTGTTGCCACAATATTATTTCCTTCACTTGTCCATTGTAATGTAACTGCATTGGAACCTTCAACTTTGTCATGTTCTATATTAAATGGAGAATCTGCTAGGCTACATAACAAAATACACACAAAAAAATATTAGTTATATGTAACATTGTAATATATATTAATTTATAATTGTTTGTTAATACCTAAATGAATTATAACAACGTTTAGATAATTTTGGAGGTACAGGTGCTCCAGGTAAAATAGGCAAAGCAGGTGCAATTGCTAAGAAATGATCCTCTTGATTATTTGTATGAGATTTTGTTGATCTTCCGTTTATTATGTTTATGTCAAAAGCTACTATTTTTGTCTATAATATTAAATAATGTTAATTAAATTGTCTTTTCCTTCTTTTATTACATTCAATAATGATAAGTACATATATATATATATACATATGTAAAATTGAAGAAAATTGAACATACCCGCGTCGCCCTGTCACTGGTCACTGGCATTACATAATAGAAACATAAAATGATGATTAATACATTATCCCACAGATTAAAAGATTCTGTTATAATCATTTAAAACGAAACTGGTATTTATAACATATAACGATTCGTAAATTATTCTATCAAATTGTGATACAATCAACTCTTGTGAAACTTATTTCATTGTTTGTCATTGCGCATTCAATACTGTTGTCCAACTGTTGTCGTTGTCAACGTTTGAAAATTCCGCGTCATGTGAAAACTACAATGCGAAATAATTAGAAACTACTCTAAGGGATGTAACAATTAAAATAATTTAAAATAGTTTTCTATTGAAAATAGAGAATAGACAAATGCAATATATTTATATACATATAATTAAGACTAGACGTTTACTAAGTAAATCATATATATTCATTTCTCGAAATAGAGGTTAAAGCGTTCGATACTTTATCTATATAATACAATTTGTTGTGCATTACAAATAAATACATATAAATGAATATGTCTCTTTTTTCTGTTTTGCGACTGTCTCTGACGAGAACAAATTTTGTTATTTCAGCACAATATGCGACATTGCCAAAAGCTGTTGGAGGTAATAATACCTTTCAATTAAATTGTAATTTGAACGTGAAATTCATACAAGTACAGGTTATATCATACTTTATATGTTTTCAAATTCATGAAGTTTATTATATTTTTCGTTTTTTAATGTAGTTGAAAAAAAACATATGCAAAAATAACATCGTTATTCATGTGTTCTTTTTTTTCAGGAGCAAAAACGAAGAAGCAAATGAGTAAATCCGAAAAGATACAAATACCAGTTGAAAAAGATGTTAACAAATTGTTAACTTATGTGTGTGGATTAAATTATTATAAGGAAGGGGAAGAAGTTCAATTGAAGCCTGATGATCAATATCCAGAATGGTTATGGAACATTAGAACTGAACCAGTAACATTGGAAGATTTAGATCCAAATACAAAACAATATTGGAGATATTTACGTAAAGAAGGAATTAGAAAGAAGAATAAAATGATAAAGCATCGTAAATTATAAAATTTGTTCCACTGACTGATCTAAATCACTATTATTTTATTTTGTTCATTGATATCATACTACTTTATCAATATTCATTAGTTTTATGTACATTGAATTGTGAACTTAAATAAAACTGTATGTAAATATATGTAAATGATATATTGTTTTTTTTTATACATACATTTGTATGCATATTATTTGTAAAATACTTTGCTATTGATTTATAACGTAACCCCTGTAATCCCTCAGAGTATTTATAAAGTTATCCTCAATGATTTAAAACAATTCACAGAATTTTTATGAATCAACTGATAAGCAGTATTTGATTAATAAATGTATTGAAAGAAGGATGAGCTTTTCTCATGAATACTACAATCAAGTTTTTAACAAAACATTCTTTATCATCACTTTTCTAACAAATAAAAACAATTAACTAGGATTATAATGTTGATTATAATGTTTATTACATTTTATCAGTTTCATATTCATTTTCCTGTATATAAAATAAAATAGTTACATCTGACAAGATCAATCTTTTTACAATGTATTATTGGATAAATATATGATCCTTTGATAGTATATTAAGAGGAAATAATCGCAATAATAAAAATACGATTTTAGTATATAAAGGCCTGGGTTAAATACAACACATCTATGAAAAAATTGTATAGTTGTATAGTTCAATATCAGTGTCTGCTACAAGATAAACGAGTTCAAGATAGCTAGTGAAGTTCAGAAACGACGAGACGCCTGAAGTATTGTAACCCGTTGACATTGTGGAACTAGATCGGATCTCAAACTAACAAATTTGACACAGGTAATGAGATCAAATTCACGATTGACTTCATTATCTTCAATAATATTCAACGATAGTTTATTATTAATAGAAATTTAGATTATTTAAATGATAACACTGTTTGTTTTCCATAGAATATACTATAAATAGTTTTTGCTATTTTGCGTTTAACAAACTTTTATGTTAAGTACTCTATTATCTTGATTTAGTTTTATGTTGTACATTTACGATTCATGACTCATAAACTACGGTACGGTTTTTCAAGATTCTGGCATGCACCTGTGACAATTCAAAAGTTAAGAAAGTATTTAAAAAGTAAATATGACTTTTGTTCTTTAACATTCCAAGTAAAGTGATATGTACCAAGCAAAGCCCCTCCTGTATATTTCTGATTAGATTAACTTAAAACAGGATGTTTTGTAAATCTCATGTTGAATATAAATTCAACTGAATGATCACTTTCGCATATTATATAAAACGGATGTCGTTGAAGGTACGGTGAGAAGCTTCATAATTATAAAAAAGAACAAATTTAAATAAATCTTCAGTTTGCTTCAATACTGATGACAAAATTTGCTTGGGTTAAAAAGTGATCTGTTTTCAGATGATTAAGTCAGCGTTTTTGGTTGCTTTTCTGGTGTTTGCCGGCCCATGCGTCATTGCCGACAGTAAGTATCAGATTATTACTGATAAAACTATATAATGAACTAAATGTAATCTCCTGTCCTTAATCTGAAAGTTGTATCGTTATCTATAATGAAGGTCAATCTCGTAACTCTTGATTTTTATATGATATTCGATTATTCGTCGATTATAAGGATAGATAGATTTATGATAACATATATTTCTTCTTCTAATAGAAAAGATTGTCTGCTATTTCGGTAGCTGGGCCGCGTACCGTCCTGGCAGGGGAAAATTCGAGGTGAATGATATCGATCCAATGCTATGCACCCACATGGTCTACACCTTTGTCGGTATCATTACCGATGGTAATGTCAATGTGTTAGACAGTTGGATGGATTTACCTAATGGCAAGGATGGTTTTGGGAAATTTACCAGACTCCGTGAGTCAAGTCCAGGCACCAAGGCTATGGTTGCGATAGGTGGCTGGAACGAAGGATCCGTCAAGTACTCTCAGGTCGCTGGTAACCCTGCTACGCGTGCTACATTTGTCAAGAACGTAGTCGCCTTTCTGAAGAAATATAACTTTGATGGTTTCGACGTCGATTGGGAATATCCAAACCAACGCGGCGGTAAACCGTCTGACAAGGAAAATTACGTTGCTTTGTTGAAAGAACTGAGAGAAGAGTTTGATAAACATGGCTTCATTCTGAGTATCGCAGTTGCCGCTGCCGAGGGGTCGGCTTCTAAATCGTATCATATTTCACAAATATCGAAATACGTTCACTTTATTAACTTGATGGCGTACGACTTCAACGGATCATGGAATAGATTCACGGGAATGAATGCACCGTTGTATCCTTCTGCAAGAGACACTGGGGATCAAGCCAAGCTGAACGTGGTAGGAATACCTTATACCTCCCTTGCTGAAATTGTTTCTATTAAGTTTCAATTCAGACCACCGTTCCCAAGTCAATGTTAAAATGTTATATTACATTAGTCTTGATACGAGATGCAATACCATTCCAGGATGCGGCTGTCCATTACTGGCTCTCGCAAGGTGCATCCACTGACAAGATTATTCTTGGTATTCCCACGTACGGGAGATCTTTCACTTTAGTGAATCCCAGTAATACCGACGTAGGTGCTCCGGCTAATGGTCCAGGAACTGCTGGTCCCTATACAAGAGAAGCAGGAATGCTTGGTTACAATGAAATCTGCGAATATCTTCGTCAAGGTTGGTCCGTTAAACGTAGCAAGGAACACGGCGTACCTTACGCTTTTAAAGGCAACCAATGGGTCGGATACGACGATGTTACGTGAGTGTTTATCGACAATATTATAAAAGTAACGATTGACAATGAGATATAATCAATCATATATTTACGGTCATTTTCAGGTCTGTTCGAGAGAAGGCCAATTACATTAACTCTAAAGGTCTTGGAGGTGCCATGCTATGGAGCGTCGAAACCGACGACTTCAGCGGTAGTTGTGGTGACAACTATCCTCTTTTGTCTGCTCTAAACATTGTATTGAGGGGGGTGACTCCAGCTCCGGCTCCACCAAACCGCCCGAAACCGGATGTAACTCTACCACCACCATCGAGTTCTCTATGTAAACAGGAAGGCTTTGTTAGAGATCCGAAGGACTGTTCGACGTTTTATCAATGCCAATTAGTAAACAATGAATACGTGGCACATAAATTCCGTTGTGGTGCTGGACTCGTTTTTGATCCATCGATCGTTGCTTGTAATTACAAGTACCTTGTTTCAGGTTGCTGAATCCGCAGGAATTAATGAAACCTATTAAAAATAAGTTTTAATTAAATTAAAACAGAACATATTGTTAATATGTTTTTTTGCATATACAATGTAATAAAATATTATTATCAAAATTTCTTTAGAAAATTAATTTGTATACTTCAAAAAATGAGAACATACATGTAAATACCTACATATGTAATTATAAGCCATCTATACCGCAGTTCACCAGAGTCCATAACTGCGAAAAGACCAGTTTTCGTTCTTCGCGCATCTCCAGTGCGCATCTTCGCCCTGATTGGCGATACTCCCAAACGAAGTGGAAAGCGATTGACGGAGAGCTCGCTGCGTTCCCCCACCATCTTCCAACCTGCGCGTCGCAGTTATGGACTCTGGTGAACTGCGGTATACATACAGAGTGTCCCAGAACTGGGGTAGGAGCCGAAGAGGGATCATTGCTAAGGCCATTCTAAACAACTTTTTCCTTTACCAAAATGTTGTTTAAGGATTCGTTTTCGAGTTATTAATGAAAAACACTGGCCAATCAGAGCGCACCTTTAGCGCGGGCCGAACCGTAAGAGTGTTGGACATGCTCTGTGTTCAAGCCGTGGTCGTGATCAACTGCATCGGCACCACGTCGATATAATAGGATTCGTTGGACAAAAGTTGTATCGAATAATGAATTAAAAAAAGAAAGGAATAATAGTATCGAATTATTAGTTGCTCATGAACAACGAATCCTATTATGTACACCGACGTGGTGCCGATGCACTTGATCACGACCACTGACCACGGCTTGAACGCAGAGCATATCCAACACTCTCGTGGTTCGGCCCGCGCTCTGATTGGCCAGTGTTTTTCGTTAATAACTCGAAAACGAAGCCTTAAACAACATTTTGGCAAAGGAAAAAGTTGTTTAGAATGGCCTTAGCAATGATCCCTCTTCGGCTCCTACCCCAGTTCTGGGACATCCTGTATATGGAGAAGTTACCAAGAAGTTAAGGTACACAGCTCTCACTTTGTGGTCATATAAAATCGCAGAAAATAAGTTTATACGATGGGTCAAAAGTGAGCTTACCGTATTATTTTTCTGTATAAATGTCCAAATGTTACAATTTTTTCAATTTTTGGGTTTTTCACATTTGTACTTTGCGCCAACGTTCGGAAGTTAGAAAGAAGCTTGCATTTGATTAGCGTAGTGCTACTCTCGAAAACATCGTGCCGCCATCGTAGAACTTCCTTTCTACGACGTGGTTTCCAAAATGCAGAAGGTATGTTTTCTGTTGTGCAAATTATAAGGATTATCTTAGTTTTATAAAAAATAAATATGTATTTTCACATCAGGCTGACATGTAATATTTTTTCAGAAACAAAAGGAACCTATCCAGTCCGTACAAGTCTTCGGACGCAAAGTGAGTGTCATTTGTTAAAAAAGTAATAGGGAGGTTATGTTTGCGCGTGTTCCTTGAAATGTATACATTTATATTTACAGAAAAGTGCAACCGCGGTTGCTTATTGCAAACGGGGCCGTGGAAATCTTCGTGTAAATGGACGGCCGTTAGAATTGGTAGAACCCCGCGTGTTGCAATATAAATTACAAGAACCAATTTTGTTGCTTGGCAAGGTACGTACTACTTGATATTGGAATTTCATTCTGTGTTACACTTTCAGATTTTGTTAAGATTGCACTCTATGATGTTCACTTATTCCGAACATGATTATCTGTGATTACAAATACAGCTACTGAGGAAATGAATCATATAAATTTGTTATGAAAAAGCTAATTTTAATAACACTGCTTATATTATTTTTTGCATAGGAAAAATTTTCTGGAGTTGACATCAGAGTGAGAGTAAGCGGCGGTGGTCATGTTGCCCAGATATATGCCATTCGTCAAGCTATTTCCAAAGCACTAGTGGCATACTACCAGAAATGTAAGTATCAATGGAGAATGTGAATTTGAGAAAGCATATATGTATATGGACATGTTCATAGTTGAATCATCTATTTTCAGATGTTGATGAAGCAAGTAAAAAGGAAGTAAAAGATATCCTAATTCAGTATGATCGAACTCTTCTGGTTGCTGATCCAAGGCGGTGCGAACCAAAGAAATTTGGTGGTCCAGGTGCCAGAGCAAGATACCAGAAGTCTTACCGTTAATTTACAAATTTCACATTACATTTTATTCATATTATTGAATAAAAAAATTTAAAAACAAACTTTGTATTTGTTTTTAATCCTTAAAAATTCAAGAGCTGAAATTTTAAAAATTTTCTATACAAATAATTTCTATTAACTTTATAATAAATAGCCCGGAAATGGCGTGATAATAATCGTTTATTATAAATAACTATTAACACGTTCTCCTGCCACGTACAATCGTTTTACGTGTTTTTTCTTTCGTTTTGTTCATTGCTTAGGAATCCATGCAATAGTATACGTTACATTGGAGCATTATTTTTTTTTTTTTTGTTATCCAGTTTACTTCGGAATTACAAACATTTACTTGTAATGCAGTATTAATTACTCGTGTGTGACGATTATTTACAGAAGAAAGAAACGATCATCGATCACTTGGTAGCGCAAATCGATCCAGTGATTTTTACAGCTAATCCGTGTAATTAATTCGCTGATAGAGAACGAAGGGAAGTAGGGGGACAAATACTAATTATATAAACAGGAATCCAAATATGAATCGTGGTAATTAGTCCACGATACTTCTGTGGATATCACCTGTGTCTTCGATAATGCCATAGTTGTCGGTTTTATATTAATTACCCACATCAAATGCAACGGTGTTTCGGATTATCCGAATTATCCATAGTTTTGCTCTTTTCATTACGAACAAGTGTCCAATATAATCGAGTACAATCCATATTTTGGGTTTTTTTTTTACTTTTCCTTTCGATCGATTTGTTTGAAGTTGATAAAAAAAAGAAGAATGCTTTATCGTTCGAATGAAAATTTGTATCGGTTAAATGAAGGCTAACTTGCGTTTGTTCCTCGATGAAATAGTTGAACGAAATTCGGTGTTTGAAAAAAAAAAAAAAAAAGATACGCGATTGCTTTCGAGCCATGAGAACAGTCGTCGTACAAGTTATTTCATGTAAAAAATACAATGCAAGACCGTAATAGATACAGGCACGATAAATATTAAATCACACACTGCGCACACGCGTATCAATTGCATAGCTGGCATCTTTTGCGTTATGGAGCAATTTTCTGTCATCGTTATTTTTATTTTTCCATTCATTTCTCTACTCGAAAATCGATCGCAATGCGACGCTGAGATAAACGGTTGAGACGATTTGTATAGAATAAATGAAAAGAAAACACACGCACGCAATGAAAACAGCAGCAGCAGCAGCAGCAACAACAACAATAACAACGATGAAAATTAAAGTAAATCGCAAATTATGCCTTTCTGGTTAGGAAAAACGATTCAAATCTCATTGATCAATCTTTTGTTTGTTCAAACTGCTAGATCTGGCCTATTTCTTGGAAACAAATTTTCGTATTGTTTAGCCAAATTGTTTAAAAAATTGTCTCGTTTTGCTGAAACGTATAGTCAGTTAATGTCAGCCGCATTGCTGGTATACGGGGGGGGGGGGGGGGGGGGGGGGGGGGGAGTACCGGCTACGTAAACGAGAACACGTATAATAAATATTGAATAACAGTTGTTTCTTACAGTAATACGAAGTAGTAGAATACAGCATACATATAGTATATGCGGTAGCCATAGAAAATACGTGCTACGTACGAGTTTTGTTCACATTCATACTAAGCTTTTAATCGTTTGCTATTTCTTTCGCATTACTACTTTCAGGTTCAATTTCACAGTTCATTCAATCATTCGATCACACGTTGCATTCCTTATCTATGTTTACACGTTTTTTTTTAATCATTTCATCGCCTCTTTTTTTGTATTTTTTTTCCCCTCCTTTTTATTACTAAATCCCTTTACCACGCACATCATACGCGCACGTTTATTCGGTTCATTCTTACTGGTTCTCCCGTATCATCCATATCTCGGCAGGTAGCAATCTTTCACTCGACTTTAATTCATCATTCGTCAATCAACTGAAAATTCGAACCATATTACTAGGATCTCCCTTTCTCCGCCTTCGGTCACAGTCCGTTATTTTGTCCGTCATAACACAAACAATATAGACTTTTCAAAATGTCCAACAATGTCTATTAACATCCTTTAGCTATTCACACACTTTTGAAACCATCTTCTCCATCTCAACGTCCGTGTCGATATCGTGGTGTACGTGATTACTACCACCGGCGTTGCTGATGGGAACAGCAGGATTACTTATCGGAGTAGAAACTGTGCTGGTCGGGGGAACCGTCGACGTTGGTGGCGTGCTCGGTGTGCCAGGAGTGCCTGACAATTCGATAGGCGAGCCTGGGGACGCGAGTGGTTCCACTAAGTCTTCTAAACCTTCGGGTGTTGGCAGTTTACTCAGCTCTTCCCTCAGCAATCTATAGTGTCTCTGGAGAAATTACATATCACCACATAAAATGATAATCAACTTCGTGTCTTTACTCGTTTGCGACGAAACGAGAAATTATTCGTAAGAATTACTTACTTTTAATAAAAATAGATATAGATCAGAGAATAAAGGGAAGAAGAAAGAGCGAAAGAGGAGCAAAATTAACGCATACAGCTGTAAATATGTAAATTGATAATAACTACTGTCGCTTACCCTTAAAGCTAAAGCATTCAGAGAAAGAGTACGGCCGGACCTGCGGTCTGATCCGTGCAGTTCCATATCCCTTATCCACCCCTCTAATTGTGCAACGATTTCGTGTCTCTTTATCCAGAAATGGGTGTGTATAACCTGTGAATATTATTATTAGATATGCTAGGGACAGGTAGAAAATTTTCCTTACTTACCTCTTTGAAACAAGGACATGGATTGCGAATTTGGTCAAGCATCGCCCACTTAGCAGTAGCCTGGCAAATGTTCGCATTGTACTCTTGACTAGATTGAGCCCCGTTCGTTGTACCACGTGACCGTTCATACCCCGGTTCGTTGAAGTAAGGCTCAGATACCAAAATCAATGATTGTATCGACACTAAAACCTGTTTTCGTAAAAAAAATATGAAGTATACAATTCGACTTCCTATGACAATATTCATTTCTTCTTCATCCTTGATTTTACCTGAAGGAAACTACTGGTATGTGCATTCCATTTTTCCTCAGGACGACCATGCCAAGTGTTCAATACACTCAGGCAAACTTTCCCATCGTTGTACAAATTGGGATTGAATCGTACCGTGTGGCGTCCAGTGGTTTCCAAATTAATTAACATCGGGCTATTGGGATAGTCCGGAGGGAAATACACGTCGAATTCGAAGCACCCATTTGCGTACGGTGTTTCTGCTGGTCCTGTTATCAGTACCTGAAACGAAATTTTATATTATTCTCGAATAGAAGGTACGTCAATTTTACGTCTAATAGCTTGGTTATCTGTCTTATTCCAAGTACCTTCATTACGTCTAATCTGTCTGCATCGCACCTAACGAAAACGCTACTACTGTACGACAAAGGTAACGCAGTGGAAAGCGTGACAGCTTCTTGTGCTAGTCTCTTAACCCTAGTGGGGTGACTTCTCTCGTCTGCTGCTCTCATAGTCGATTCAAAATGATAGGATACGGCAAATTTGTATCCACCTGTTTCTGGATTCTCCGTAATCATTTCATATGTATCTACGAT